CTCCCGATCCTGCAGTTGTCAGCGACAGTGCAGAAAGTCTCAAGAAGATTATTGATACAACATACGACAGACGCTGGCAGATGTGTCAGAGTCGAAATCAGTTAAATAAGGAAGGGCTCCTAACAAAGAACCTGGCCTTCTAACATGAACGCTGCTCAGACAACCCCCACGGTTTTTCGAGCCTGCGCGGCTGTCACTAGGTCTGGTTACTCTTCTGGACAGCGTTTCCGCTAACATGACATCCGACGTCGGCCAAATGTTATCACCATCTCTTTCCGTCCGCGGGGTACGCACTATCTCTACTTGATTACATCGAGAGGGAGCAGGCGACCATCCCATCATCGAGGCACCGATGTCCATACCCACGCGAGCTCGCCACAGAGACAGAGGTGAACGTCTCTTGCAAGAGCAGGGCTGTCTATTACCGAGGAAACGGCACCAACAGGAATCATTCCCAAGAAGGATGGATCCACACGTTTCATCTCCGACTTCCGGTAACTGAACAAAGCTACCGTGTCCGATCCCAAGGATGCGAGAAAGGCTACCGAATCCAGACAAATTCCAGCACGCTATGCCAATGGGCATATGCTATAGCCCCGACATCTTCCCAAAGGAAGATGAAAACACGCTGCAGGCTTAGAAAAATGTCCCGTGCATACATTGATGAACAACTCATCCTAACTGACGACGATCTAGTAGATCACGTTGAATAGTTATATGAAGTTCTCCTAAAGGTTTCGAGAAGCCTGACTTAAGTTCAATGCTACCAAGTCCTTTTTCGAAAGAAGAGAACTTGATTATCTAGGCTACTGGATTAGTTGAGAAGGAATCCAACCTTAAACTAAAGGACAATAGATTAGATGCGATCCAGATTATCGCTCCTCCTACGAATAGGAAGGAAATTCGTGGATTCATTGGACCAATGAAATACCAGCCAGATACATGAGTCAGGCGATCACATGTACACTTCATTGCTGGACAAAGATTGACGCTGATCCCGTCTCGGTGGTTCGGGGATACCAATGTCTGCTCCAACGCATGTCTCGTTCTAAACAGAACGTGGGTTTACCCCCAGTATCCATACCGGCCTGAGTTATCATGACAGAGAACGTGATTCCGCGCAGAGTCGAAAGAAACTCTCCGGATGAACATGGACTCATCGTCGCAACAGTTCACTGCAGCTAATCGTGAACAAGATTCAACAACATCCTTTCGAAGCAAACGGAAAATACATCAAGGGCAGCCGCCAAGACTTATCCAAAAACGATAGGGAGAGACAGCATGTCCCCAATCCAAACACAACTGGTCAAACGATACTAGTGAAGATTCACAAGTACAAGCACCGCAAGTACGGTAAACCAAAGTACAAAGGTCATTAAACTATAGACCGAGTAAATAACAGAATGGCACCTCGTACGGCTCCGGATGCTACCAGCTGAATGGCTGCACAGTCTACCAGTCTTTGAACATAAGGTATTTAACACCATACAAGGCTTGATTCCCCTTGTAGGATTGCCATCGTGCGATCGTCAATGCTACATCCATCTCATGGAGAGTGCCCCGCACTTTAATTCAATTGTTCTCCATTGTCCGACTGGAGTTCGTGCCGTCTTGTACACTTGTCAGTGGGGCGAAAGCAATACACGGCTCTCTCCTACTTCGCGATTCGATCTTCTAGATAGGAGTCTTGCAGTTTACGACTCATACTAGAGTCTTGTGAATATTCATGTGAGACAGGGTTCCATCGAAGGCTAGTCATGAGCCTAAGGATCGATGGTTAAACATCAGTCTAGTATTTAAGTGTATGCGATGGAGGATTCCATCGCTTCTAGATAATATGCTAGAACGAATCTTCCACGCGTTCGTTTCTGTGATCGTGGATGAAAGTAGGAAATTGCTTAACCGGCTAACATAATCTATCACACTCTACAGCTCCCGCGGGAGTTCAGATCTCTACGATCCTTTGATTGTGGATCTCTCTCGTTGATTAGTTTTCATAGCTTTCTAATCCTCTATAACTTTCATTCTCTCAAACTCAAAACACTCGAAAGATCTTTACACTAGCTTTTAGCGTACTAGTAGTGCACATAGTTTACTAGGACCAAGGCTGTGAAACTGAATTGATTTTGGAAGCTCTACTACATGTAGCTGAGTTCATCATCAAAATCTTCCCCAAACAACCCTAGCTACTGCCGGTAGGCTCCATAACTGCAGCCCTTCTGGCTTACCTCTGTGGTGAGAACTGAAGTGCGGCCGCTCACTTTTTGCTCGATTTCACTTGCTTGTGCGCAGCCCAACGGGCGTTGCAATCCTCTTTGCTTGCTGCTCCCACAAGCCATGCTCTTCGCCAACACCAACAGCAGCTCCAGCTTACATGCACCGCGGGCCGGTATGCTTGTACCGTACATCACTTGCGCAGTTTTCTTGCCCTCAAGGCCCGCTGTCACAACTTGTTCCTTGGCCGCATTTTCGACGACTGTGCCAGTCGGGTAGTATCTGCAGTATAGAACCGATAATTGCACTGTTGCCGACGCTTGGCAATGGTGGTGGGAGCTCTTGTTACCTACTTTGCTCCGTCAAACAGGGGATTTGTCAGGATAAAAGATTCCAACAACGCCCCCTTCGATTCGTTTCCAGTGCACACAAGCCTACGAGAAGATGAGAGAGAAAAACCAAGGACAGCACTGCGCCGAAAGCCACTACGAGCCATGGCCGTCTTGACCTCGATTGCTTCTGATTTTGATATCATTTCAGACTGGGCATTCTACCGACAATCGCTACGGCAGGATAGAGAGTATCGGAAGGAATTCGAATCAAATCCTGTGGAAGGAGACCTACCATATTTGATACCCCCGAGACTTATACATTGCGTCTTGGCATCCTGTATTTTGGGGTCCATCATGTGGATAGTGGTCGCTACAGAAGGCAGAATCGTGTCTCCTGTAACAACTCGCCTCGGGATTGATAAGCTCAGCATGGGACTCGTGCTTTTTGTAAGTTGTGGTTGCTGCTTGGCTTGGTAAGGTTTGGTTTACGTTGTGGTTTTTGGCGTACCGGTACCTCAACCTTGTGTGGTGTCTTTCCTGGCTTGCTCTCGTCCATGTCTCTATGTAGATTGCAGTGCTTGTGGAGGATCTGCCTCAGATTCTTTTGGTGTTCCTAATTGAAGATTACTATGAAGAAGGAGGATTCTTGTCTGAAGTGGCAGTCTTCAATCTTATGGCAAGTTTATATGATACATGCATCAAGCTTGCAGAGAGTTACGATCAGAGGCATGACGTCGTGGAAACGGGCGTATGGTGCAAAAAGAGTATTAGAGGACATGAAGCAACAATTACAGATATCTTTGTGCTTCCAGAAGGCGTGGAATTGCCGGCATATCAATCCAACAATCAGCGCGGGAGACGCAGGTCTACGTCGGACTCTGTGGTACAAACGATCGAAAGACACCGATCTACCGGGGAATCATCATCAGATGGGAACAATGCTTCAACAAGCAGCCTCCCGACTTCAGTTTTTCGCAGATCATCTCGGAGTCAGAAACCGCTGATTGTAGAAGCCTTTTTTCCAGAGGGCGAAGCGTTGGCACCGCGCATTCACTTTCTAACCACTAGCATGGATATGACAGCCAAGCTATGGAACGTAGCTTCTTTGGAACAGACAAGCACGACAAATACAAAGAATGACAAGCAATGCGTTGATTTCTACAGCGATGTGGAGGGGAATGGTTTCACTTGTATGGCATGGGTCGGCCCAAAGAACCCAAAAACCATGGTTGCCGGAAGCATCAACCAGAAGCATTTTGTCCTGTTTGGAATGAACAATGGAGTTACCAAGCTATGGGACTTGAGTGGCTTGTGTCATCGAACCTATCAAGTCTATGGAAGCAGAACAAACCGAGTTGCTAGCATTTCAGCATCGGGTTTTGGTGACAACCATATCTTTGTTTGCGGCCATGAATCAGGGGATATTAGATTGTGGCAGACATGGATTGGAACCTGCTTGGGTCAAATAAGGGCGCACGACAAACGAGTTACTTCGATTAAGTTTTTGGACAACGGAAACCAGTTTGTTTCTGCCTCTGCAGACGCCATGCTGAAGCTTTGGGATACGAACAATCACTTTCATGGAAAGAAGGAGGATCATGGGGTTGAAGTCTCAGTTTCAGACAGCAACAGTGGTGTGCCAAACCTTGCAAATAGCGCACCCAACATCTCTGTACCTCCCAAATACAAAGAATTGCATGGCGAGCACGATGTGCCCGTCAAGAAGTTCCTGGGGCACACTGCTGCAGTGCTCGATGTGGTGTGTGTTGACCAGAAGAACGCAATCCTGAGTGGTTCCGCAGATTACTCTGCTCGCTTGTGGTCACTTGAAACGGGTCTTTGCTTGCGAGTGTTTAGGGGGCACTCGGATGGGGTATATTCCGTCCTTGCAATCGACCGGGTTACCTTCCTAACCGGGTCGAACGATGCGACAATCAAAGCATGGGATGCACTGTCGGGTGAATGCCTGAGAACCTACGAAGGCCACCGCTCGTGCGTGACAGGTCTTGCTTTAGGAGCAGTTAGTCAAGATGCGACGGAGAGTGCTACCACTTTTCTTAGTTGCTCTGCTGACAAGAGTATCAAGTGTTGGGTGCTCACTGCGGTTTCCTACAGAGATCCAGCAGCCACTCTGGATCACATCCTGGACTTGCACGAGAATACCTGCAGGTGCTTTGACCCTGCCACATATAATGCAGGGCACCAAGTTGGAGTGGACTTGGTGAGATCGTGCAGCCCCCAGCATTGCGAGTTTGACCATCCGTACTATGAGGACTTCAAGCTAAGCAACGTAGATTAGAAAGGTGTCGGACCATAGTCCTATGATGACACCCCTTTGCTATTATCAACAGATCAGTTTACACGCTTTCTACATAGAAACCTAGTTTGGCTCGTCGTCAGCCAGCTTTGGCTTCGTCGGAGGTCGGAGGGATGGATTCCGGTTCAACGAACATACATGTACTGGTCTAGTGTCTTCAAACCTACCGGTACAGTACGTCATATTATGTTAGCTAGCCGCTGAGTAACGCAATCGTGTCAACCGAAATACGGCAGCAGTGGTATCTTGGAGACAGAGAAACGTATGATACATGTACTAGCTAGCTAGTAGCTATGGTTTTGGCGACGGTTTGTCACCATGGCGCACTTTACATTTCGACCGATCAAATGTGCGTCGAATCTATTAAATTCTGCTACCGGTAGCCAGCTACTGTAATAAAGGGAGGGAAAAGAGGAGTATCAACCCAAATCTTTGAATCCAGTTTGCCGCCAAAGTTTGAATATTGAGAAATTTGGATCGGACAAATTTGTGAAGGGCTTTTGCAGCCTTGGCGCTGTCTTGAAGCTCCACCGGCTACAAACCGAGAAGTTCTCTCAGAAACGCGCCCAAACTCCGGCCCGCCATTATGATGATCCAATTGCACATGAAAACCAAAGACAAGTGTTCCCTCTGTGATGTTACAGCACCAGAGATAGATTATTGTCGTTGCCTCCATTTCAACAAGATACCATGGGGTGTGTGGATACTATCAAGGAGACTGTCAAGGTGTGGATCACGAAGGCGTTGACCCTCTTGGACTATGTGCTGAGTATTATCCGACCGAGGCTCTCCCGATTGCGACCGTGGGCCCCTACTAAAACCCCTGTAACATGGATTTACATCAATGGAACCTGCTGCATGCTGACGGCAATGTACTTTCTTCTTGGTTGGCTCCCCAAAAACACCATCGGATACGAGTTTGCGCAAGTGACATACATTCCTGCCAACCTCTCTTTTGTGGCCTTTGGTTTTTCGAGGCTTCCCTTTGGATGATATTTGATGAAGATGAGCCAGCCTGGCACAAACTGGGAGAGGTTGTGTTATCAGTGTTCTTTGTCCTTGATGGTATTATGTGGGTCTATGGATGGCTTTTCCTGGAAGAGCCCCTGGCCAACAAGGAGCTTTTGATATACACGGCCATTGATTTTGCCATATACTTGTTCTACTTAGTCCTCGCCATCCGCGCCGAAGCAAAGGCTACCCACGAGGCATTGCTGGCCCAGCAAAAAGCACAAGATTTGGAAGCTGCCGCTGCAGCCGGCAATGTTTTGCCACCATCCGACCAGCCACAAGAAACTGAAACGGACTTTAAGCTCATGACATGAGGCGAGAGATTATGGAGCAATACACACTACTACTGCATATGCCTGCAACGTTTGGAATGGGATGCATCCCTGACAGTATCATTGCCAGCAACAGCTTTTGTTTGCAAATGACGCTGAAGAGTTAGAGCCTAAAGGGAGGTTTATTCTGTTTTGAACAGAAACCTCTCTTTCTTTATCCGCCAACGAATGAAAAACTCCAACTTTACTTCGTTCTTGTACATTTTACTGATTCCCTAGGCTTGCAACTGCACTATTTCTGATTGTGGTTGCCTGTGTTACAGCATAGTTTCCCTTTCCCAATGTCCTTACGTTTACACTGGCACCCTCAGTTTTCCATATGTTTCCAGTGTTAAGGCTGGGAGGATTTTGAAATGGGAACTTCGTTCGTACTATACTGGCGGCCTTGGTCACTCGGGCGATGGCCATGGTGGCTGAAGATTTTCCTGGTGCAGAGGAAGAACATGGGGTACCGGTACGGTATGTTGGCTTAACCGTAACGGTACCTACCGGTTGAGGTGTTGGTCCGGAAGCGGTGCTGCGTACACGGCTGCTGGTTGGGCCAAGTGTTTATTGGTAAAGTTGGGTGAGAGGGGGCTGGTTGTCGGTTCCAGAGATTGGAAAGAAGTTGGGCCTGAGATTGACCAGGAGCGAGCAGATCCAGGTGTAGAGTCTGCAACTTGGCTACCGGTAGGCAGGTTTGGGTCCTATGTAGGTCCTGGAGTGCGGACAGGATGTGGTTCTTGCATCGGGCCAGACACTAGCAGCGCCGGAGATGTTGGCGTGTTGGTCCAGAAGCAGATAATGGACTTGGGGGAGTGTACGTTCGAGATGGACCGGCATTGCTTGAAACGAAGAGGGTTTCAAATCCTGTTGAACGAGCAGGACTATTTGTGCAACGGGAAACACCACCACCAGTCGGAGGGAACCCGGATCTTTCTCTTTCTCGGGAAGGTTCAGTCACGCTGTAGGAAAGGACGCAGACACCAAGAATACCACAAGTTGCAGGAGCAGCGTTCTGAGCTGAGTGCTACTATTAGTACCAAGTTTCGTTACTGGAAGACCCAAATCCCACTTGGAGTAAGCTGCCAATGGAGAGAGCTTACAATTCTAGCACAGCAGTGCAGAAATACCACAGCGCTGCAAAGCTACCATTTGTGGCCAGTCAACATGGGGCAATGCGCATACCGGTACAGAGTCAATACATTGGAAGCCAACGGGGTGGCTGCACTGAATGTGACAACGTTGGAACCATATCCAATCTCTGATTATCCTGATTTTGAAACAGGTATGCACATCATCGCTTTTGGTACCGGTAGTGGCCTTGTGAGATGGCAGGATTTGCTCACAACTCCTCGTTTTTCTACACCTCCCAGGCGAACAGCATGCAGACTGGTATCACGTCTATCCAGGGGGCTCGGTACGATTTCAATGTCACGATCCCACCAACGTAATATACGATTTAGACATCAACGAACCGATAATGAACGAAGAGGGTACGGTTTCGAACTACTTCATCCATCACTGCGAAGACTTATCTATCCGCGAAGGCAACTATACGTGTTTCGACGCTCCCACAGCCACGCCAACGATTTCGTCGGCGCCTACAACTTCGGCAGCACCAACAGGTCCACCCTCTATTGCACCGAGCCAAAGTCCGTCGAGCCAACCATCTCGCGTACCTTCTTTTTCTCCTTCCGGCTCGCCCAGCCTAGTACCCAGTGAATTTCCCTCAAAACAACCAAGTACACCCCCTTCTAAATCACCAAGCGATTCACCAAGTTTGAGGCCAAGTGAAGCCCCCTCTGATACTCCAAGTGTGGCCCCATCACAAAGTCCATCCTCTGTGCCATCTGAAATGCCCACCAAGTCTCAGGCTCCGTCCTCAACTCCCAGTTCCAGGCCGAGCGCCTTTCCAACCCAGGAAAGTGTCATCAATGGCGTTGAAATTGATCAGCTTCGAGATGAACTTTCCAAGTTGTCTGTTCTTCGGTCCATCGAGAACTTGGAATTGTCGAATTCCCTTGATCGGCTTAGCCAAAGGTTGGACACTATTGAGGCTTCGATTCAGCGCCTTCAGGAGCAACAAATGACATTGGAAGGAATGGTCAACAAGAACACGCAAGACACATCAAATCTTCGAGGCTACACCGAAAGAAAGATTGCGGATACACAGTATTGGGTCAACCGCGCTTGGGTCTACGCCACGGGGGGCCGCGGCGGCCTAATCGACTTTGCTGGTGACAGTTAATACTTGAGAAGATTGAGAATATCGTTGTTTGCACCAAGCAAGTAGTTTTGTACTATTTAACTGATGTAGTACCGGAATCCCTAATAATTAGGCCGCGCATCGCCCGTCACTAACCAGTACCTGAAGTAGGCACTATGAACTAATAAGTGATTGCACTGCCTTTTCCCCGACATTGTGGCAGCATTGACGCTTGCATTCAAAGCCGAGGCACGGCAGCGCTTGGTCCCCTCTGAAGATCCGCGGCTCAGGCCTTGGGTCAACACAGAGCTGTCAAGGTCGGCAATCTTTCCCAGGAAAATGGAGACGACTTGCTGAAGAGAGTGGGCCTTTGTCTAACTACGTGACACCAGAATCTCTACGGATGGCCACAGATTCTTGATCGGTGAAACGCATCCCTGTCAGAAGTTTTTATGGCATGATGTTTTCTGCTCGCTACCAAGCAGAGGGGTGCTGGAGACCACCAACATCAAACTGAGGCGTCAAATCTTTCTTCTCGCTAGAAAGTACAGCTGGGTAGAAGTGCCAAACTTGAGAAAACTTGAAGCTGATTGCTTCTTTCCCTCAAGAGACATCTTCGAGGTTGAAGAAGGATGGCAATCACTGCAATTGTTGGCATCCGCTTGCCTTCGGATGCATGAACGGTGCAACTTTTGGGTTTCCACCGGTATTTTGGTTGACAAGCTGTTGACACCAGGACTTCGGATCTTTTATCTTTTGTGGTGGTTTGGCTCAAGAGTTGACGTGAGAAAAGAAGCTGTGATTTTAGACGTTATGTCGGAGTGGAGAGTTTCTATTCTGGTTGGTGCGGCTTCCGATAACAGCCTGACAGCTGCTGTGACTCAGTTTAGTCCAATGGGTCGACTAAAAGAATTCCGAAGTTATTTCTGGTTCTCAAACACCACCATCCATTCGTGGCCTCCGCACACTGACACCACATCAAGTGGGAAGCACATTGGTTGTCATGCCCACGTCTCCTTTCACCAAACTTGTGGGTTCTGAGAACTTGGGGAAGAAAATTGGGGGATCGAGCTGAAAGCAGCAATCAATCAGCATTGGTCGGCTGATATGGTATGTCTAGCTGCGAGTCATAACGGATAGCTGTGTACGTCTATAGGAAATCCCTACGTATATATTCACTCCTGACTCACTGGCTAGCAAGACTCTCGTGTGCGGTGCCATCAAGCAAGAGAAAAAATGATGCGAAGTGCGAAGCGTCCAAGCAAGAATTCTTTTTTCCAAGCAATGCCAGGGTCTTAGATTGTGCCTGGTAGCTACAGCAAACAGGCAATCAACCTTGTCATTGCATAATTTCTTCTGGCCTAGTTTGATAGCAACTTGTCAACAAGACTTTGGTCCACATTCACCTTCTACCGACAACCCAAACATGTAAGTTAACATCGAAAGACGAGAGGTTGTCGCCGACGGGCAAAACTTGGATAAGATCTGAACCGATGATGGTAGGTGTCAAGCCGTCATTGTTATCAGATAGCATTCTCACACACAACACGTTCCGTGTCGTCTCCTTTTGAACCCATCAGACAACGTCAAGATGAAGCTCGCTTTGTTTACCATCATTGCATTCACTAGCTCTGCTGCTGTTGGCGCATTTGTTCCTCAGAACGATCTTCAACATTCTCTCGAAGCCATGATGAAGCGCACCGTCGAAACCACCTTGAAGAGTTCTCGGGCGGAACCACTTCTCGAACCGGTGACCAAGCGACAGGATCAAGACGACTCCCGAATTGCAACTACCCACAAGCGATGGGGTGTTGACAACAAGAATGAGGAAGAATACTGGTATGATTCCCGCATCCACACTCTAGGAAACCATGGATTCTTCGGAGCAGTAAGTATATTGTCGTGTTGTTGTTGTCCGTCCTTGTGGTAAATGCCGCTCACACGACATGATGTTGCCTGCAGGTTCATGCCGCTTTGGCTCCGATCTCGACAAAAATGATCGACAACATTGCGTATGAAGGCGTGGACATCCGTGGAAAGGTAGGTTACTGTGCCAGTTGTCTTTTTCATGTTGTTGCAATCTGACACATTAACACTAACGACGATCGCATGTTGCTGCTCCTCTATAGGTTGCCGAAGAATTGTCCACGCTGTACCGCAAGAAGAAAGCCAATGTCCTTGACTTGTGCTGTGGAGTAGGCTTTTCCACGAGGGCATTGATCAAAGCCTTCCCAGATGCGGAGCGAATTGTTGGCGTTGACACATCCCCTGAAATGCTCGCCATGGCAAGATTCATTTCTGCTCACGTCTCTCATCTCAAACCAATGTGGCAACAAGGTCAATCCCAGCTCAAAGAGAATTGGAGCAAAATGGTCTCGCAGAGCCAAAAGATCCAAGCGGGCACCAAGAGTTTCTGCTCCACCTCATTCAAAAAGGGAAATGCGGAACACACGTCGTTCGAGGATGGTTCATTTGACGTTGTCACCATCATGTGAGTTGAGTCATTGTCGTGTTGTCTGAGAAGTCGAGCCATTGGTTTCCCAAGATCTCAATTCTTTCTTTTGCGCTTGCAGGTACGCATTTCATGAGGCACCCAAGAAGGGACGCGACCGCATCTTGCGGGAAGTGCGACGTGTGCTCAGCAGGGGAGGTGTTCTTGCTGTCATTGACATTGCCACAGACTACTCGCCAAGCGCAAGCATGCTGGCAGGGGAGCCATACGGTAAGTCAGTTGTTTGATTTGATATCTTGTGATCACAGCGTGGATCCACTCTCATATTCAAGATACTCCTCCCGTTGCAACGTTTCAGTGATTGAGTACCAAAAGAACATTCACAGTCAGCTCGGAAACCAAAAGGGATTTTCCCGCGCCCAATACAAGACACTGGTTCCAGGCCATGTTGGCATGTGGGTACTCAAAGCCGTCTAGGCTCCAGTGAAGGTCTCCAATCCCGATCCATGGGTGTTGTTGTTGTGTACATACTTGTCTGGTATGCAGGCAAATTTCACGTCTTGTTTTCATTAGTATCACGATCCTTCAAAGTCCAGAGCACATAGAATAAAATAAGCGTCTCTTTCACATCGTAAGTCTTTCCTTCCAACCTTACACATCGCCCCCAGCAAAGACCCCATCGTAGCCGCCTTAGTTGCAGGCAACGGCTTCAATGAGTTCCACAAACGCATCCGCAAATTGTCTGTTGGTCTCCTCGCTGACAATGGGCATCGCTGGATGGAAGGTCAACTTCATCTCTCCTCCTAGCGTCAAGCAACTCAACTGATAGAGACAACCAGAACGAGCGTGCGAGACACCAAAGAAGATGTCATCCACATTGTATCTCCCGTGTTTTGTCTGCGAAATAGGTAGCAAAGAAGAACCATTTGTAAGTTAACAACAAAAGACGACAACTCAGGCCAAACCGGACCCGGTAAGCAAAAGCACAACTCACCTTCAGCGGTGCTCTGGCAGACTCTCCCTCCCTTTCAAACGCCTCCTGGCGTTCGTAGACGCCATTGTTGGTCACACCAGCACTGTAAGCGCGACCTTGGGTGTCCTTTGACTGCGCCGTCAGGTAGACGAGGTTGTTTAGATCCGCAATTGTCATGGCAAAGTCGAATACCCTCATTGCGTGTTTGGGACCTTCCGAAGCAACAAACGCTCTGGTTTGGTCCAGGCCGTCTTGGGCAAGTCTCCAGAATTGGACAAAACCTTCGGGTGGTGGATTCTCGCGCAATGCTTTCCCCGAGTAGTCGGGAAAGGGGCCATGCATAAGATCCATACTTCCAGCAAGACATCCCACTGTTTTTCCTTGATCCAACTGTGCACCAAAACGACGAAGATCCAGTGACTGAAGAACCTTGTAGTTGCGACGCTTGCCGTCGTCGGCCTGATTTCCGCCATCAATGAAATCGGTCGAAGCGAGCGTCGTGGCAGCCGTCAAGGCGTTGGTGATGGACACTTGATTTTCGCGGCACTTATTCAAGAGTGCCGACGTGGTCGCTGCCGACAAGGTCCGAAACTGCAGAGTGCTCTTGCGGTCTTCGCTGCCGGCATCTTCCCCTCCAGCCGCGTTGCCCGAGATAATGGACAAGGAGCTCATGACGCTGCTTCCGTCATTTTCCGAATCGGGCAGAATGACGGGTGACTTGAATCCTTCCGCGGCTTTGCCAGCCACATAGGCAATGGTCCCCGGCGAAATTCCCTTGACAAGGACATCATTCCACCGCTGGTGCAATCCCAAGACCGAATCTTCGACCGAGACGGGCATGTCCTGCTTCTTGCCTGGCTTGGTGATGGAGCCATCTGCTTCGATGGAAGCCATGTTTCCCACAATCTGATCAATCAATCGGTTGGCACTGCTCTGATCGGAAATGGCATGATTGAACGAAAAGACCAGAGCACAAGGGATCCCGTTGGAGTCCTCTTGATAGCGATGCCACTCGAGCTTCCAGAGAGGTCCCTTTTCGACAGTACACCAAGAGCCATCGTCAATGTCCTTTTGAAAGGTGGTCTTCCAGGAAGCATCCAGAGCGACTCGGTCTCCTCCAAAGACATCGACCACCGATAACACATCCTTGGACGTGAACTCTGTGGTACTCGAAGAACAAAAGGTGCATGGTTGAGGCTCACCTTTCCGAACCATTTGAAAGAGATCGATGCGTTCGTCTGGTTCTCCGTCGCCTTCAATGTGACACCTCAGTAGGGGATGAGACGCCATGGCATCGTCAATCGCTTGGCGAAGGATTTCTTCCGATGGGGTCGACGATAACACCGCAACGCTCACGTGGTTCATTTGGGGAAATACATCCTTGCCGGGAGAGTACTGCCGCGGCAACATGAGGTTCTCTTGAGAACCAAGGATCCTACGTTGCGCCGCTTGCGGCACTGCTGCTGTCTTGGGTACGGATTCCGATTCATCTTCGACGGTAGTGGTAGCAGCGAGGCTAACAACAGACAAAACCGGGGGACGAAGAGAAGGGGTAAAGGCGCAAGTGTGGAGACCCAGGGTGGTTAGGGCAAGAATCAATCCTTGGAGCTTCATCGTTTCGTTTCAGCTGTTTCTTTTCTTTGTCGTCGTCGGTCTACTGACTTTGTTGCTGACGGTTGATTGACAAACAGCACGCCACATTGAAACCTTGGAGGGCCGATTGGTACTGTACAGTAGCGTCCATCATCCAGAGGGCAGTCTCTCTTGTTGATGAGAAGTAAGTGTTGTGGGTCAGTACCCGAAGTTGAACTTCAGTTGGGACCTTGGATTTCAAAAGATATTTTGGTCTGTCCTTCGCTACCGATCACTGGGCTTGATAAACTAATGCTTTCTAAAAATACAAACTATTAAGGCTATCAGGAACGACCATACCACGATGACAGCACCGCTTCCCGTCTGCTCAGCGAAGTTAAGCATCGTCGGGCCAGGTTAGTACTACGGTGGGGGACCACGTTGGAATCCCTGGTGTTGTTCTTTTATTGTTCTTTCAGTAGACTTCTTTTTGATCAATGCTGGGCCAAGAACAAACGTACCTGGTACCGGTACCGGTCAAACCACTCAGGTGGGTTGATAGGACGGTTGCTGCTGAGTTCTTTTGGTGCACACATTGCACTTTAGCTGCCAATTCGACTAGCTGCAGGATGGGGCGGCGACTGGGAAATGTTGGGCAAGCTCTCCAGAACCGGCAAGGACCGTTACACACAAATGCCGGCTCAATTGGTTTTATCAAATGCAGCAAAAAGTGAGAATACTAAATAATTTACTGGGATTGACAGAGACAAGCCTTCAGGCTGGAGTTCTGGTGCCGAGTGGCACGAGGCAGCAGAACTGTGGCGTGATGGGTTGACTCTGTGGTACTATTTCTATGGATTATATCGAATGCATTCACACACAGCATTGGTGTTAAACATCAATGGTGGTTGGCACTTTTTCGCCCATTGAGGGCTCATCAGTGCTGCTCACTGGGGTTGCATGGGTGAATTGGTTCAATTGGTATCCTGGCTGTGACTTATGGCTGACGATCTAGCTAGTAGATATAGACCAGGGTTTCCATCATTCTTACCTCTTTCCCCCGCTGGCTGCAAAGGAAAAACTAAGATACTGGTACATGCAGCCACTGACTCCAAATGACGAATACCGGCAGCTCTAGCAACAAAGTGTCGACACAGTTTTCCTAGTGGAGAGACAAGGAAAGTAGCAATAAACCTCCCAACAAGGAGGGAAACGTCGGCTGCAAAAGCCGGCGGTGGGAGTTTGCGAGGTTGCGGGTTGCGGTGGGTGAGAGCAAGTGTGCGGCGTTGCTGTTGGTGGCAGCATTTTTGAGAGGGCACCACATCATTTTTCTGGTTTTTGTTTCTTCTCGTCCGAAACACAATGATTCAGAGGCCCTTCATTGATTCTATCATTGGAGGTTCTACACATATAACACAGGAAGGAAGTACCGGTAGCGATCATCATTTGCCAGACTGGAGAATTATATCATTCAGAATGCCCAAAACGAAGGCCGCTATTAATAGCACCAAAGATGCTCCCGGGCGCCGCAGGAGTAGTAGGATCAACAAGAACCTCCAAGAAGAGCAAGAAACAACCCCCAAAGATACCCATTCCGAATCAGAGAACGAGTCAGATAATGAGGAACAGCAAACGTTTGAGTTTGAGGGAAACACCTATGCTTCGTATCAAGAAATGGTGAATGCCAAGCGGAAACGAAATGAAAATTACTTGAAGCAAAATGGACTTTGGAATCCCATTAAGCAAACCATCAAAAGTAAGGAAGCATCCCAGAATGGTATTAAACGACGCAAAGTGACACCCCCAAAAGCTCCTATGCGCAAATCCAATCGCTTGGCGGGGACTCCTGCAGATGGACGCTTTGTGGAACACGAAGGCGGGGGTGGCTTTGTCATTGTAGCGGCCGAAGCAAGCAAGGATGGAGTGGTGACCAAGACTACTACGAGCACTCGAAATTCCAAAAGTCTGCAACAGTCCACTACAGTCATTGTCACGGGTGGCGACCGCAACCACAGTGCTCGGGTCAATGATGGAGCACCGTTATCCCTGGAAGATGCCGTCCAGAATTGTGATGGGAAATGGATTCAAGAAAACTCGGTTCCAGAGGCCCAAAAGTTTACGCAAGACACTTTGAAACCCATCATGACTGTTCCCGTAAAAGAGGAATCTACGACAACAAATAATGGTAGTCCCACATCCGTTGCAGCCGAAACTGCATCCCCCATGGAAACAGTCCGCAGCAAAATTGAGCAACTATCCATTGACGATGACAACCATGTGGCCAAGGTGACGCCGGATCGTATCTACGGACTGGCAGTACATCCTTCCACAAACAAGTTGATTGTGGGAGCCGGCGACAAACTCGGTTACGTGGGACTCTGGAATGTGGACGCTACTGGTGACACAGATGGAGTGTACTTGTTTCGGCCTCACACCCGTCCCGTCAACACGTTGGAATGGACGCCACAGGGGTTGCTCTCGTCGTCATATGATGGAACCGTTCGATACATGGATGTGGCCAAGGAGTCGTTTGAAGAAGTCTTTGCGAGCAACCCCAGTGACGAGGAGCAGTTCTACACGCAGTACCTGGCGCTGGATCCTCGGGCATCCATTCGTGGTCAGTCCTTTTTCCTTTCGACGTCCATGGGAAGCGTCATGCACGTAGATCGCCGAGTGGGTGCGGCCAAAGGTAATATCACGTTTCATGCCATGCTGAGCGAAAAGAAGATCAACACGGTGAGGTGAGTTACTTGCTTACCCAAGTTGGAGTTATGGTTCTATGATATAATGATGGGATTGATGCACTCACTAAGGTTTCATCCTTGCCTACTTGCAATACTACGCTATGTGTTTCAGCTTGCATAGAGATGGATATTGCTTGGCTACAGCTGGATTGGACAGAACTGTCAAGTTTTGGGATCTACGCAAGATGACCACCAGAAAGAAGGTCTCGAACCCTTTTGAGCCCAAGGCAGCCTATCTGGGAGAGCACTTCAACGAGAAATCAGTGAACAGTGCGTTCTTTTCTCCATCTGGCGACTATCTCATGACAACCAACATGGCCCACACGCTCAACATCTATCACAAGGCCCATTTGCAGCTCACGACCTCGGCAAGGTCGTCTGGTGGGGAGAAGAAAGAGAACCTAGTCGAGCCCATTCACATGATACGTCACGATAACCATACAGGTCGCTGGTTGGCGACGTTCATGGCACAGTGGCACCCATCTCTGGATATCTTTTGTGTTGGAAGCATGGCCAAGCCACGGGCTGTGGACGTGTATGATGGAGAATCAGGAGACCATATGAGAGCCATCCGAGGAGAAACTCTCTCCTCGGTGTTCAGTCGATGCTGCTTCCACCCGTCATTGGAACACCTTATTTTGGTTGGGGGCAACTCAAGTGGAAGAGTCTCTGTAATTCGATAGACTGCCTGGGGCTTGACAACGCTGCTCGATTTCCCGCTCGGCCGCTCGGACCCTCGCCCCGAGATGATCAATCACGTCTATTAGTCACGGTTCCTTAGAGACCATTCATGAGCAAACCACGACAGACTCTCAATCATAAAACCACGACCATGGCACTGGAATTCAAGGGAGCTGCCGTGCAGTCGGAGTATTACAATAAAGGGCCCTAGATATCCAAATGGAACCATGCAGTATCCAATGAGGAAACAGTTGCAGGTCTGGGAGCCACAGTCAGAACGCCAAATAGTATTGGTATTGATAAATAATGACAGAGCATAACTATCAAGGCAAACGAATTTCCACAACACACGCAAAATAAAATACTCTTGGTGAAGTCAGCCACAGAAGCAAAGCACGGAACATAGACGACATGCAAGACGAAAAGAGGAAGTTGGAACACAGTCAAAGTAGGAGTAGGAGCCTCGCAGTTGTAACCGAAAGCTCCAGTGCCCACTTTTCACAGCACCAAAGCCCACGCCGGTAAAGCCACTCTTGCCTCTTCGTCAGCGCTTGACTCCAACCACAACCTGAACAAGTCAATATCAAACACAGAACAAAATCCCTGATTGAAAGCTTTCTCTGGAGAAACCAGCACTCAGAAACCGATACTCGTGATAATCGACAACCAAACCACTATAAATTATCCTGCCTTCAGTCCTGAAATTTATGGAAAACGTGAATTGGTTATCGACCCAATGGTTGCACGAACAGAGGACCTGGAGAGATATTTTGTTGGAACCGTCAGCATGATGCCCCAATCCATCCTCCAGTTTTGGGATTTAAATATCAGCCACATCCATTAAAAATAAGATATCGGAAGTATCAAACAGCCATAGAAATCGAAATAGAGATCCGTTTAGGGGCTGCAGGTAGACTTCAAGTAGGCAATAAGATCCTTGCGGTCTTGGGGCTTCTTGAGTCCAGCGAAAACCATCTTGGTTCCCTGTTTGACAAAGACAACGAAAAACGGCGAGGAGAGGAAAAGGTGCTGAGAAAATGCCAATGAAATCAGACCACTCAAAAAAGAATGAACACAATCCCAGGACATTTCTGACAATCTCTGACACAGGATGCACTGATAGATAACAATATCCCATTCATTAACCCCAATGGCATGGGTATGACAGGACGGTCATAAACTGTCATTGTCCCAAGTCCATTATCCGTATTCCCATTTCAACAGCAGAATATCCCCAACTCCATTTGCTGCCATTGATTGACCTACCTTGATGTACTTCTTTGGGTTTTCAAGGTACTCAAACAGAGTATCATCTCCCCACTGGATTCCAGATTTCTTGTTGGCACTAGAGTAAGAGTAACCATCGGCTTGACCAGACTGACGTCCGAAGAAACCGTAGAGATTGGGTCCTTGCTTGTGTGGGCCTCCCTCCTCAACAGTGTGGCATTGAGAGCACTTGACCTTGAAGATCTTGGCTCCCTTCTTTTCATTACCGGCCTTATCTTTCTTGCCCATCTTGTATTAGGTTTCCTTGCTAATCTGTTGTAATTGAGAGGTAACAGTCTTACTCTCTTTGAGAACTTTGAGAAAAGTGACGGAGTGCAATGGAGCTTTCCCACTGACCGTCGGTTGGGTGAACTCGAATTTGCAACCAGCCACGCAGTGCGGTCGTTGCGAACTCCAAATATCAATGGTCACTGACGAACGCGTCATGACTCGTTAGTTTCATTCTCGAGTCTGTCAGACTGACATCATTCGTTGCCTGCTGACGCAAAACTAATGAACGAAGATACACTCCAAAAGGCAGACCAATGACGACTCAAGGAAATGTGTTGCGGTTGCATGCAAGCAGCAGAAACAGCAGACCATTGAAGGTGGTAAGGAAGAAACCTTCACCGAAGTAGAGCATCTAGCTAGCTTAGCTAGAGGGAGGCAAAGGTGATGCTGAACTCAAGTTTTAGGTTGTTTTCTTCATGGGTAGCCCCTCTGCTGCTTGTGCTGTGGACACCCATTCCCGTAGCCTTTGCCTTGACCATTCCTTACTTTGCCTACGGTTCCAACTGCTACTCGGGCACCATGACGGCTCTACGAAGGATTAACTGTGTGGAGTCGACAGCAGCGGTGCTACCGGGATACAAGCTGCGCTTTAATATTCCTGGAATTCCAGTAGTGGAACCATCCTGGGCTTGTGTGGAAGAGTGTGCGAAAGCGGATGACATGGTCCATGGTGTCTTGTACACGTTGACACCACAAGATTTTGCTCGTGTCTCTCTATCGGAGGGAGTTCCTTGGGGGTATCAGTGGAGGGTTGTGGATGTAGTGCCTTATACGGGAGATGGCGAAACTGCAGGACAATCTGCAGTGGCTGCTTCCGACGCAGATTCCTCTTCAATCTTGCAAGCATATACATTGATATCCAACAATCCATTTCTACCTCGTCGTGACATTCCACCAAGCAAGGGGTATCGAGACTTGATCATTCGTGGTGCCAGGGAGTTTCAAATGGACGATGAATACATCAAGAAGCTACTAGATACTCCTGTTGGTTTCACAGTTGGCGAAGGTTTTGTTGCCAAGGATGTATTGGAAGCAGCAGAAGACCGAGCCAGAAGACAAAATAAAAGATGAGAGATAGATTCAAAGCTTCAGTCGAGACCAGCGGATTCAAAGTCGTGGCTCCACTTTCTAAAGGCTCACAATAGCTGTTGGTTCTGGCATCCCTAGCTGAACAAGTAGCTCGAAGGTGAGGATGCTCTCTGCTGATCTCGGCATCTTGTAAATTTACTTGATTCGACGCACGGAAACATACCTGAGCTGTACCAATCGGTGGGCAGCTATGCAAGCGTGACTGATCCAACGAAAGCTATATCCGGCTGGTCTGACATGATACTCCAAAGCAGAAGGTTTTTTTGGCTAACGTTTATTATAAGCTGTTTTCTCCCTTTCTCCCTTGGATTTCTTGGAGTGTTTGGCTGAGGTCTTCTATTCTTTGTGCAGCTATTGGATGATTTGCTCGAGCACTGTTTTGCCAACACATAATAGCCAGTTTATATCGCACAGCCAACGTTGGACCGCTTTCTCGGAAGGGCTTCATTAGCTCAAGGTACTGATCCGCTTTTTCTCCACTGTCAGGATGACCAGACCGAGACCATGCTTCAAGACAGGCGTTGTAGGACACAACACTGGGAGAAATATTCCCACCCTCTTGTTTCATTTCTTCGAGCAAGTTTTCGGCTTGCTGTGGATTTCCCTCCTTTGCAAAAGCATTCATGGCGGAATTGAATGTAATGGCATCAGGTTTCAACCGGCGATCTGGGTGATGCCGAGCCATCTCTTGCAACACTCGCAAGAGCCTTTCCGCTGATTCACCTCCATTTCTGGACCTAGCATAAGCATGGATGACAGAATTGAAGGTTCGCACATTCGGGGTCACACTCGTGTTGTCCTGCATGTCCTGCAGTATTCGCTCTGCTTCTTGACCTGCCACGGGACTTCCTTCTTTTGCCCAAGCATTAATGACAGAGTTGTAGCAAACCGTGTTGGGTGTTATCCCAGACTGTTCCATATTCCGGAGCAATCGTTCCGCTCCTCGAGGATCCTTGGCACGAGCGTAGGCATCCAAGACCGAGGAAAAGGCAATCATGTGCATCTCCACGTTGGCAGCATCCAGTTTGGCGCTCATCAGTGTCGCCAAAACTTCGGCAGCTTTGTGGACGTCTCCAACCTTGGCCCAAGCACTAATCAGGCTGTTGTATGTTGTGTGGTTGGGTGCCATCTTTGCATTGCTTTGCGCAAGTTTGCATAATTCGTCAAATACCTGTTGTGCTCGGACTCCGGCGTCTGGATTCCCAGAAGTGCTCCAGGCATGAATAACGCTTGTAAAGCTAATGACGTCTGGTTCCACTTTGTAGTTGCTGTTGTCCTTCATCATCGATCTCAAAATTTGTTCGGCCCGTTCTCCTGCATGGATTGTTTTGGTTTTTGCCCAAGCATCCAATACGGCATTGAAGTTGATCACATCCGGCTGAATGTCGGTATCATCATTGCAAACATTCCAAAGCAAACGCTCTGCCTCTTCCGCCTGTCCCGCGCGGGCCAAAGAATGAAGCACTGTCAGCAAGTTTGTACTATCCGGCTTTAACCACCATTTCTTTTCCCGGTAGGCGGCATGTCTCAAATAGTTCCAAATCTCCATGGTTCGTTTGGCAGCTTGGGCATGTCCGGATTTGGCCCATGCATCCATGACTTGAGTGTAGTGGCCATTGTTGGGTCCTCCTGATGATGACAAGAGCCCCAAATCGGACAAGTGAATCATTCGTTGCAGGATCCCATCGGCAATAGTTCCTCGGTTATGCCGTGATGATGATGAAGATTTTACTACACAAGCTTGAAAAAGCTTGTCAAAAATACTGTGATCCAGCCGGAAAGTGGTTGAAACCTCCTTGCTCTTGGGTTTCTTCTGTTTGTCTGTATTGGCACCAATAATATAATCCAAAATGTCGATTGATGACTTCGCATCTCCTGCCACGGCATGAATCTCCAACAAGAGACGAAAGGACTTGGCAGGAAGACTGCCACCTTTTCCTTGCATCACTTGCATTTGTTCCTCTACCAGTCTTCTTGCCTTCTTGACAATGATGTGTGCTTGTTGTTGTTGTTGTTGTTGCGAATTTGACAAAGCAGATGATTGACATTCCACCAGATATCCTGTCACAATGGCAGTGTAGGTGGATTCGACATCGGACAGTGTCGCCTCTTTCAGGACACGTTGATTCTGTTGAACTTTTTCCCAGACTCGATCGGTTGTCAACAAGTCGGAGGATGTAAGGTGTGATGATGGACACAGAGTGTACCATTTCATCCACTGGGAGACCGCAGTGACGAGAGTGTCTGCTGCTGCTTCCTTGGATTGTCCACTTTCTTGTTGTTCCGTTGCCAATAATAATAATTGATCCAGCTTGCGAAAGGACTCTTCGACAGCCTCCCGGGACGGGGCATCCACTTGTGACGGAGCAACGAACACTTGGATACTGTCATGGTCGTGTGACGTAGAAAACCACTGCTTTGGCAAGGAACTGAATAAAGGCCGACACAAGTCTCCCCGTTGGATCCTTGCAGTAGCAAACCAATGATTTGTCGTAGATTGTCGTCTCCTAATAACATGGTCGAAACATCGGCTGTTTACATATTGGCGACCAAGGAGAGAACCTCTGATGCCGGCGCCTCGAATCATTGGTCTTGAGCTCTGCAGGATGGACGCTCGGAAAAGCATTCTGCCAATGCCATTCTATTATTTGACATGGCATTCACAGCTTCACAGCATCCTTGTTGGATCCTTTCTTGAAGCTGCATTCCGTTCGCCCAAATGACGATCAGGGTTCAGGTTAATCGATCTGCTTCCATGCAAATCCTTTCGCATTCGGTCGTTGACGGCTTTGCCAGAAGACCACAAAGACAGACAACTCGAAACTCGAAAGCACAACGAAACAAAGCAAGACAAGGAAAACAAGACCATCACCATGGCTCTGGTCCAACTCTCTGATTCCGGTGCCTTGTCGGAGTTCTTGAACAAGCACAAGAATGTTCTTCTTACTGTCTCGGCCCACTGGTGTGGCCCTTGTAAGGCGTCCAAGCCTCAGCTCGAGCAATTGGCGGAAAAGTATTCGGCGGATATGAGCAAGGACATCCAGTTTGGCATTGTCTACGAATCCGATATTGGAGAAGACATTCATCAATACTCTGTTCGAGCATTTCCCACATACGTCCTCTTTCAGAATGGAAAGGAAACCAACCGTGTCGAAGGAGTCAATTTTGCCGGCATTGAAGACATGATCAATGCAGCGGCCGCTTCGATGGTCATGACGGGAGGACACACGCTGTCGGATGGGGCTGCCGCGTTGACACCCGAACAAGCACGAGCCGCTCGATTGGCCAAATTGGGAGCTCCTGCTCCTGCGCCTCCAGCAGCGGAAAAGCCGGCAGCAGCAGTGGAAGAACCGCCCGCCAAAAAGGAAGAGGATGTCGAAATGAAAGATGCTGCCGGGAACGACGAAGCCGCCAAAGACGGGGATGGCGACGCAAAAATGGAAGATGCCGAACCGGAAATGGTGGATCCTACATTGGATCTGGAACCATCGATTGTCAAGACACTCACGGACGACATGGGATTTCCATTGATCCGAGCTCAAAAGGGACTTTTGAATGGCAATGCTCGTACCGTCGATGCTGCCATTGAATGGTATGTATTTGTATTTATTCTTCTGTGTGTATATATATATGTCAGTACAGTCAGTTTCCTTTCTAACCTTGCTTCTGGTATATTTTCTGTACAAGGCTGACGGAACATCAAGATGATGCCAACATTGATGATCCAATTCCATTGGCGCCCAAGGACGGCGTCGTAGCTCAGTCGTACAAATGTAATGAATGTGGAAAAATCTTGTCCAACATGGCCAATCTGGAACTCCATGCCAACAAAACAGGACACAGTGACTTTGAAGAATCGACAACGCTTGTCAAGCCTCTGACACCCGAGGAAAAGGAAAAGAAAATTGCGGAAATCAAAGAACTGCTCAAATTGAAGCGGGCCGAACGAGAGGAGATCGAAAAAGTAGATGATGTGGAACGAGAAAAGAGTCGACGAACCGTAAGTTAGTGGCGCGAAAACCAAGTTGTGTGTTTGAATGGTTGACTCACCGTGCGACACTTTTTCTAACATTGACAAAAAGATGGGAAAAGAAATGGCCAAGACTCGTGAGCAAATGGATCGTGAACAACGAAAGCGAGATGCCCTCCAGCGCAAGCGGGAGAAAGAAGCCGCCAGACGGGAGCGCGAACGTATTCGTGCCGAGCTGGAAAAAGACAAGTTGGAGCGTAAGGCCAACAAAGGAAAGCTCTCTTCTCGTTTGGGAGTGGACGGGTACAACCCAGATGGGATCCAATACGACAAGGAAGCAGATGAGCAAGAGGGTGATGCTGCAGCACCACAAAAGAAGAAGTCTGCGGGGCCCAGCGCTGCCAAAATCGATGAGTACATTAAAAAGGTCTCCAGCTACAGGGCTGGTGGTGATGGACTCAAGTGTCTGAAGATTCTCAAGATCTACATTTCAAACGTTGTCGACAACCCCACGGAAGAGAAATTCAAATCAATCAACATGGAAAACAAGGCGTACAAGGCCAAAGTAAAGCCCTTTATTGGGGCCAAGAGTTTGCTCTTGGCTGTGGGATTCAGTCAAAACGAAGGAGGAACAGCATTGGTTCTGAAGGAGGAAGCAGAGCCGCCAGTGCTCGCGGATGCCAAGGCAAAACTTGAAGCTGCTATCAGCTCATACTAGTCAACTACTCTATTTACTTCCCACACTAACGCAAGGCACTAACGCAAATGAATGAGTCCAAACTACTGGTATTGCAATATATATATATATTAGCAAATATATGCTATGCAAATCCTCTCATGGCAAGCATATGAATTGTGCGTTCGGTTGCTGGTAGAAGGCCATCATGCTGCGCAAGGACTGCTTGTTAAGTCTCTATGATTCACTCTAGATCTACTTGTAGCTTGTTCGGGACAATCCAAAAGAATCCTCGTCTGGAGGAGTTGTGGTTGGCTTGCAATTACTTGGTTCTTCTTCTGATACTATCATTTGGTACCGTACAGTGTACTTGGTAGCTTCTGATACTATCTACCGGTGCTTACCCGGGGCAAGCTACCAGGAGGTACCACTGGTAGCTAGCTAGCTAGCTAGCTAGGCAAGTGTTCTGTTTCGTATTACCTCGGCAGGTTAACTGCCTGAGTTCTCAACCCCTTTACCTCGGCAGTCTATCTGCCTGAGCCGCAAATATTCTGTCTGTGGAATCCCCTTGTTTTGTGTCTGTGGGATCCCCCTCATTTCCTGTCTGTGGGATCCCCTATTTGTTGAAAAGGTGTGAACTTGAACGCACAATTTCTCTAATTTAATCAATATCCTTCCAGCTCTACTGTCTAGTAGACTGGCTATTTTATATCAATGTAATTTTTAAAAGGTTAGTGCACTCAGCACAAAAACACAATAAGCCAGCAGGTGTTGTAAATCTAAAGTTACATGATCGAATGATAGCTGTAGGGTTAGCCCGTGGCAACACCAAGGCTAGCTTTTAAATATAAAACAGAAGGTTACAATGAGGGAATGATAGTGGGGGGCAACACACGACGAAGTCGGGTGTTGTCGCCAGGGCAAGCTTAACATAAAAATGAAGGTTATAATGAGGGAATGATATCGGGCAGCAACACACGACGAAGTCGGGTGTTGTCGCCAGGGCTACCTTGAAAGAAGGGTGCAATCTCAAACATATCATCCTTCTTCTATCTGTCTTTCTGCCGAGGTATCGCAGCTCCCGCTGCTATTCCGGTGAAGCCAAAATATAAGGATAGAGATAGGCGGAAGACAACAAAACTGGAAATTGAAGGTTCTACAAATTTAGGGGTAGGAATAAATCATGACTATTTAAGATTAGTGCACTCAACACAATAAGCCAGCAGAAGCTACAAAGGATACAGTTAGGTAAGGGAATGACAGCTGTAAAATTATGGTTAGCGGGCGGCAACACACGACGAAGTCGGGTGTTGTCGCCAGGGCTAGCTTAAATAAAAAAGAAGGTTATAATGAGGGAATGATACCGGGCGGCAACACACGACGAAGTCGGGTGTTGTCGCCAGGGCTACCTTGAAAGAAAAGTGCAATCTCAAACATGTCATCCTTCTTCTATCTGTCTTTCTGCCGAGGTATCGCAGCTCCCGCTGACTTAAATAAATAAACCGCCAAGGCTGCTAATCCCCAGTGGCGCACACGGCTGTCTTTGTCTCAGAATCAGAATCCAGACTCGGAGGCTTTCCAGCGAAAGCCTAAAAGCCGACAGACATCTGATGTGGCGGCCTGCGGCACTGTTGTCTGCAAGGCCAAGGCCAGCAACGAAAAGCACCTTTGCTTAACAGCTGCTTAACCCACAACAAAAAAGAACAACCAAAGCTAGCTAGAAAGGAACAAAAATCATATTATAGGAACCAAAGTGACAAAAACGGATACTGCAGGCCTTCCATCTTGTGATGGGTTAGCAATCCACTGGCAAGTATCATCACCCTTAGCTCTACCGATACCGTATGGATGCTAGCTGGCTGGCTGGACAGTACCGTACCGTACCGGTACATGTATGGCCTCTGTAATGTGCTAACGCTCTCTACTAAAACGCTCCAAAACTACCGTAGCTACCGTAGTAGTCTACTATCAATGACTTTACTGCTGGCCGCTAGCTAGCTAGCTCTGGAGAGCCGCATGTATTGTGCGTGTTGCTGGCTACAGTCGTACTCCTGTAACCATGCATACATACAGGAAGCTTCGATTATAAAGATTCAAACGCGTGCCAGCTTTTGTGGTACACTTCTACGAAAGCTGGTGTAGATGTGTACCAGGGAGGACGGCACGCGTTTGCATCAATAAAATCGAAGCTGCTCGTAGTAGCTACAGTAGCTGGTGGGCGGGAACCAGGAACAATGTGACACCCAGCTGACACGCTGACACTGTCTATTAATATTCTGAAAGGCTAAAAGGATGGCGAATAGGCTTTGAGCGCATCCACGCCATCGCTCCAAGCTCCAAGCGACAACAAAGGATCAAATCGAATCAATCGTGTCTCGACAAGGCTCTTCTGCCCATCTGCGTTACAAAGAATTAATTAGTTGGACAACAGCAAATCCAATGGCCGTAATGGTAATATGTCATAAATAAATAGCCCGAGTTCCTTCCAAGGCACTATTGATAGGCCCTTTCGAAAGTGCAATACCAGTAAGATTCGCAAAAGCAAGCTTATCTTTAGGAGGTGATCATCTAGAATCTGATTAATGTCGTAGGCTTTTACAAATCTTTATTATTCACCTTAGGTTTAAGATACTAGTGTACTATCGGTACCGGTAGAACGTGAAGGCAAAGTGATGGGTGAAACAAGTAGATCTTTATTTTAAAATAGTTTCTATAATAAAGGCTGCTTTGCTCCGACAGTTGGCATCCCCCAAATTGCTAAACCAGGACAACACCTCCGTGAACAGTTTTTTTAAAAAACTGGACTTTCCCCTCTCTCTCGAGCTATCCATGTACATGTACTAGTACCAGTACTTCCAACGTTGGTGAATGCGTTGGAAAATCATGGATTGCTGCGTGCATGGTTATGATTCTCATTTTGGGGCGATTTTGTTGCGAGCTTGCTGTCTTTATAGAAAAGGATATTCACTCTCTGCGTGCAGCCCCTAGGCAATGGAGTGGCTAAACTCTTTTGATTGGGTGCCACGATGCTACCGGTACTGATACCGATCCTTTCTGGTCAATCTCAATAATTTATGCCGTCTCTACGGGTATGCATACAAATGCCACACCCAAGAGCGTTGGCAACCAGAACCTCAGCTGTCTGAATTCCACAATCCCACTCTTTGTTGTGATTACCGGTACATACGAGGTAGATAACTACCTAGGTATCTTAACAACAGGGTAATTGGTGTATATTTTTAATCCCATTATTGTTATGCGTGCTCGACCACCACCCTTCCCATAACAATTTCACTTTGAAGCTGCAAGCTGCGTGCATCGTAGCTCATCATCCATTCAATCCCAGAACTGAAAAGTGAATCATTCGAATCTTCTTCAATCTTCGATCGCACCAATCGCTGCTCGCTTTACTTTTTTTAATAAAAAGGCCTTGCGGCATCCCGGTGGTCGCCATTGCCGCCACTGCACACTGCACAGTGCACTACCGTAGAGCCAGCGCCAGTTGAACGGTCTCGGCACCCTTCCAAGCATTCTATCCTGCTTCCTAATAACATTGATCGCTGTTGTTGCTTGTGTGCTTTGCCTCAATCTCATCTCAGTCAAAGTTTTGAAGAGGTCCATTAGAAACTGGAACTGTCGTGTCAAGTGGTCCTTGCACTCCAGACTTAGTCTGTTTGAGTGCTAGTAGTGCCTTCCATAATCAACGACGATGACCGATTATCCGCAGGACGGTGCCAACGACCCTGTGGTAGATGCCTGCCTATCAGATCTGGGAGAAGATGCTGCTCAGCTTCTACTGCTACGATGTGTGGCAAACGCCCACTCTGAGGGCCTGAACCATTACTTCTGGGAGTTCTCAAGAAACATCCTGCTGGTGTATTCGGTACGTAGCGTACTCCGCGTAGCGGTAGTGGTGCCGCAGTCTTGCATAGCTGAGTGTATCGCTAACGGCGCTGACTATGTTCCTTGTTTGTTAGACTGCTCTTGTCTTCTACATGCAATCAGGCTTCGCCATGCTTTGTGCTGGGGCTGTCAGGAAGAAGAATGTTGGGAACACCATGCTAAAGAACCTCCTGGATGCCTGTGGTGCAGCATTAGCTTTCTTCATTGTTGGTTACGCCTTTGCTTTTGGAGGTGACGATCCAGAGAGTACCAAGAAGACGTTCATTGGTACCTCCAACTTCTTTCTGATGGACGTGGAGGACTTGGCCTTCTGGTTGTTCCAGTATGCATTCTCGGCCGCCTCTGCTACTATTGTGGCAGGGACACTGGCTGAGCGTTGTCAGATGGCAGCTTACTTGGGCTATTCAGTTCTTCTCGGAGGGTTTGTGTACCCTGTTGTGGCCCATTCTGTTTGGAGCGCCAATGGATTCTTGAGCGCGACTGCCAAAGAGCCTCTTTGGGGAGTGGGTATGATTGACTTTGCTGGAAGTGCTGTAGTACACATGACAGGAGGTACCACAGCACTGTTTGCGGTAAGTTGTGCGGCTTTCCCACGATCATGGTTCTAGGGGTATTAGACTAACATAAGGTGTTTTGTGGTCCAACTCTTTGTCTCCAAAGTCGTCAATTCTCGGTCCAAGACGAGGCCGCTTTCACGATGAAACTGGTCGGGCCCTGGTCAAGCCCAAAGAATTCCCGGGCCACTCAGTGGCGCTACAGATGCTTGGAACATTCACGCTTTGGTTCGGATGGTAGGTTCTTTAGCTAGCTCGCCAGCTGCGGACTTGACACTTTAGGATGCGATCAGCTTGTGGGCTCACCAACATTCGAATATCCTTTTATAGGTACGGTTTCAACGCCGGATCGGCTCTGATCCACTTGAACGCCGATGCGGTTCTGCCTTTGTCGGGTGTGAACACAACCCTTGCAGGGGGCACAGCTGGCATAGTGGCTCTTTTTGTCAATCTGTACCTACTGGAACGCTACACTGGGGAGGCCTTCTTTGATCTGAAGTACCTGATGAACGGAGCCCTTTCTGGACTTGCTGCAATTACTGGTTCCTGTGGTGTGGTGGAACCTTGGGCATCTGTGGTAGTTGGCGCCGTTGCTGGTGTCTTGTATATCTTTGGGTCCTGGGCTTTGATTAGAATGAGGCTTGATGATGCTGTTGATGCAATTCCTGTTCACATGTTGAATGGTGCATGGGGTGCCTTTGCCACTGGCCTGCTGGCATCGCCACGCCGGCTCCAAGATGCTTATGGAAGAAGTGATCATGCTGGTCTATTCTACACAGGAGATGGTACCCTCCTCGGCGCTCAATGTGTGGGTATCCTCTTTATCATTGGCTGGGTTATGTTCACAATGTTCCCTTTCTTCATTTGGTTGGACATGAAGGGTTGGTTTCGTTCTGACCCGTTAGATGAGATAATTGGCCTGGATACTAGCTACCATGGCGGGTTCATGCTTGGTGCTAACGATGACAAGGTTGGCCCAGAGTACATTTCGGCCATGCAGAAGAGAAAGGAAGAAAACAAAGGGTCGCGTCAACGAGGGAACATTGCCGACAGAAGTAACGACCAACTTGAGGACATCGAGGAAGACGAGAGTCATTTATTCGAGACGTGAGGGAGGTATTCCCATAAAACCACATCCAATTCAACCCAATCAAGAGTTCTCCGCGGCAATTTGCCAGTCAGTCACCGTTGCATCGTGCAGTTGCACGATACTCTAGCTTCCACCAAGACATGGCAGCTACCAGCTGTGGCTGCCAAGTGCATACCATTCGACAGACAATGGTATGGTTCGCCCCCTTCTTGCAAACCTCAAGCTAGCTATCATAGAAAACGAGAATGAAACTATTAACGTAGATTATAATTGGATGCAGACAGTTGTACGGTTCGTCCGAGCTGACTATTGGCGGGAAGAAACGTGACGAGACTTTGGGAGTCCATCATCATTGGATGCTGTATGCAGGTGCTGCGGTTACGATAGCCGTTGCTCCGAAGAGCTGAGACCACCCGGCTATCATGCTCCTGTTAGCTCAACTAATCTGAGAACGCCAGGCTCTGTTGGCATCGGCAACCACAGCAGACGCAGTGTCTGTGCCCCTTTATCACTCACGCTTATTAGCACCAGCAGGCTAGCTAGTAGTAGCATGCTCGCGATAACAACCTCCACGAGTCGAGTCAGGCCCAAAGTCGCCAGATTCAACTCGACTTGACTCTAGACGCTTCCAGAAGTATCTACCTGTGCAAACGGTTTAAAGCGGGTTGCGAACCCACCCCTTTCTCTTTTGACTGCCTACTAAAATGTACACGTACGATGTAGCTAGCTAGTGATACATCAGTACCATGGGTGCTGCGGCAGCCACTCGATTAATGCGATGGCTAGCTAGCCAGCTACATCTACTGGAGGGTGATTTGCAACGCAAAACACTAGAGAGTGGCAAGCAGCCAGTACAATAGCCTGCTTTATCTTGTACCATCAAATGAAATATGCTGGCGGTGCAGTGCCAGTTGACTGATGCCTTCGTGGGGACTTGGCTCTGTGGCTCCAAACTGATTCCGCCAACCTCCTGCACATTGCTCAATTCCCTTTAGTGGCAATTTTTTCATCAGTGGAAACGTACAGCGGCAACTTCATGACGACGACTGTGATACGGTACGAACAGCTAGCCAAATGTAGATAGATTTAGTCAATTATTCATGGCCACCAAGCCACCTACCGTACCGGTAATCACCAACTTGTTGCACCACGATGTCCTTAGTCCTTGACTCCTCTGAAACCTGTTCAAGCAGCTCTACTAGCTGGATACTGTAGAACAAAAAAGAAGTGGGGGTGAAGTTGTTTCTAAATACTCTTACTGGAACATAGGGCCTGAATGCCTGAACTGGCACAGGAGACTCCGTGGAGTTAATGAATCCCGATTACTGGCGAAACGCACCTGTTATGCCATCTTCAAAATGCCGGTCCAGGGCAACCACCTTTGCACCCTTTTACGACCGAATACAGCAAAGTGAAGCCAACACCACAAGAGCTTTTCACTGGTGCGGACCAAGACGACAGCCATACCAGCAGCGCCACCACCCCAAACAACCCCCACCGCTCTCAACAACACAAGCTTCATCTCCCACCAAGATACACCCACCTTGCTGTTGTTGATAACTGTTGTTCATTGCGGCGTTGATCGATACATTCTGCTTGGAGGGAAGTCACTTGCAGTAGTCATATTTCTGCCGGAGGCAATACCGGCACCGCACAGACCTCGTTGTTATCCCCGTGCCAGCACCGCCACGAACGCCACACAGCAACACTGACAGGCCAATACCATGTCGGTCGAATACGATCTCCTCGAAGAGTGTCTCCCCTATGGAGATGAGACTTCTACAACCTTCATGCTCAATTGCGTCTCGGCCAATCTCCGCAACCATCCGGGTGCCCAAGAATTCTCGAGAAATGTGCTGTTGGTCTATTCCGCAGGTAAGGCGTCGTTAGCGGTACCGCTCGGCTCTGTGAAGAGTGGGTGGCGAAGAGGAATCGGAGATGCTGGATTGCTGTAACCCTGGGCTCATGGTCATTATCTATCTCCTTTTGTAGCTCTGGTCTTCTTTATGCAAGCTGGCTTTGCCATGCTTTGTGCCGGGGCAGTAAGGAAAAAGAATGTTCAGAATACCATGCTTAAGAACCTTCTTGATGCTTGTGGTGCAGCACTAGCTTTCTTTTCATTAGGGTATGCCTTTGCTTTTGGAGGTGATGATCCAATGAGTGCCAAGAAGACGTTCATTGGTACCTCCAACTTCTTTCTGATGAACGTGGAGGACTTGGCCTTCTGGTTGTTTCAGTATGCATTCTCAGCTGCCTCTGCTACTATCGTGGCAGGGACACTGGCAGAGCGTTGTCAGATGGCAGCTTACTTGGGCTATTCTGTTCTTCTCGGAGGGTTTGTGTACCCTGTTGTGGCTCATTCTGCTTGGAGCGCCAATGGATTCTTGAGCGCGACTGCCCTGGAACCAATGTGGGGTGTCGGTATGATTGACTTTGCTGGAAGTGGAGTGGTCCACTTGACAGGAGGTACGACAGCACTGTTCGCTACCATGATTTTGGGGCCAAGACGAGGCCGCTTCCACGATGACACGGGCCGCAAATTGGCCAAGCCGAAGGAGTTTCCCGGGCATTCCGTTGCTCTGCAGGTGAGTCGATTGGTTTGGTTTGAGTTGCGACCGCCACCATACAAGACCTTGGATGGGAAAATAGTTGCTATTCTTTGGCTAACTGCTTGGGTTCTTCTTCGCTTTGTTGCAGATGCTTGGAACGTTCACGCTTTGGTTTGGATGGTACGGATTCAACGCCGGGTCAGCTCTGCTTTTGGACTCCTTGGAAAGGGACAAAGTGCTTGCTCTTGCCGGAGTTAACACCACCTTGGCTGGTGGTACGGCAGGAATTGTGGCCCTCTTTGCCAACCTTTGGGCTCTGGAACGATACACTGGTGAGCCATTTTTTGATGTGAAGTACCTGATGAATGGTGCTCTTTCCGGATTGGTGGCCGTCACAGGTGGTTGTGGTGTTTTGGAACCCTGGGCAGCTGTTGTGGTAGGGGCCATTGCTGGCCTGCTCTACATGCTAGGAACATGGGGGCTTGTCAAGTTGCGCTTGGATGATGCAGTTGATGCAATTCCTGTACACATGTTGAATGGTGCCTGGGGTCTCATTGCTGTTGGACTTTTGGCCTCACCAAAAAGACTGTATGCTGCCTATGGACACAGTGATCACGTTGGTTTCTTCTACTCATTTTCGCACAATGGAGCAGATGGACTATTGCTGGCGGCTCAGATCGTGGGAATCCTCTTTATCATTGGATGGGTAATGATCATCATGCTTCCATTCTTTGTATGGCTTGACTGGAGGGGTTGGTTCCGTTCTGACCCCTTGGAGGAAATTGTTGGATTGGACACAAGTTATCACGGTGGACTCATGTTGGGTGGCGAAGACGATATCAACCCAGAATACGTGTCGGCATTTAACAAGAGGAGAGAAGAGAATGTTAGACGTCGGTCTGGGAGAAATCCCAATATCTCGAACACTGTTTTGACCGAGTTTGACCACGAGGACGATCCAGAGTCATATGGTGGTTACGAGGACGAAGAGAAATACATGGAGATGTCACAGCCGCAGATGTCTGCCAAGAAGGAGGAGGCAGCTGTCGAGGCCGAGAGTGTGCCGATGGAGCTCGAGACGGCAGAGGCGGAAAAAGAAAATGGGCTGGACGTTTCTGAGGAGAGGCAAGACGACAGAAACGGGGTTTCAGTAGAGCTATAGCCATGAACAGGCGAGGGCAGTCATCCAGTGCATTCCGCTGCACAATTTTTAAGTTTGACGCAAATCTTGCTAAATGCACCAGAATCTTCGTTAGGATGAATGTACAATTTTAACTGAATATTAAAACACGATTTTCACAATGTGCCAAGCTAGTGGTTTCGTGTTGGAGGCCCAGACCAAGTGAAGGTGATTCGATTCTCCCGTTCTCGGCAACAAACCAGCAGCAAGCCAAAGAGTAAATATACACAGCGTAGTAATATTCCTTGTGTGCAGAAAGGACGACGAATATCGAGAGATGCTACATGGCTAGAGGGATCATATTCTAGGAGCGTCTGGATGTGAAGGCTCGACTCAGCAACGGTAACATCTGAAGCGAGACAAGGCGTGTTGCAGCAAATGCATGGATTGCCTTTAACGAAAAGAACATGATATCTCAATGATCAAGGTTTCCTTTTGCATCGTGTTCGTTTTGCCTGCCGTCTTTGGTTTGGCGGCAAAACGAGTTCTTTTGACGCTGAAGATGGGATCGGTGCTGCCGTGAGCCATGAGCCATCGGCACATATTGGAATGGCTCGTCCAGCATAGAAGTATTGAATTAGTACTGGTATCAATGCAATGGCCTGGTGAAGAGAACTCGGAGGAGACAAATCTAACGGCGTTTCTTCCGCCACGTTTTCGTGAGCTCTGGAGTAGCTATTGTGATTCATCTGTACGGTACATCGTAGCATCAAACATCATGCCTGGTGATCAGAAAGGCGTTGTCTCGGGTGGATGCTGGATCTGTGTCTTGGTGTAAAAGCGACTCCCGTGCGCCATGTGAAACAAAGCTCGTCACTATTTATTTAGTCAGCACTCCAGCTATCGACAACAGAATCTCGGACAGCACGATTGTCCACCGTCCGTGGCAAGCAGGAACTAATAAGAAGCTATCCAAGCTATCCCAACCATGGCATCAGCCCTCGTAAAGTTATCTGAAAAACAGGAAATGCTTGGGATTGTAGTTGGCTGTCGAGGTGCTGGGTGACTGCTCTTGCATGTGATAGCGCTTGCAAACGGCAGCCGTCCGCCTGCCGGATACCTGCATGGCTAGACGATCAAATAGTTATGCTGCAGTGTCGACTACGAAACGGGGTGCTCCAAGGATTCAATGCTGGCCAGCCATGATTATTTGGTCAGCAGCTTAGCTTCGATGTGCTCGACAATCGATCGCTCTAGTACATCATGCATCAGTGGTTCTTTCATGGTGGCTTCTTGTTGCGGATGGGTGAGAGGCTTACATGTAACAAATACTAGCTAGTGTTTCATTATTAGATCTGCCCTTGCTTGGATGGAGAGTGGCTGGGATGATGATGATGATTGGGATTGGGATTGCTGTAGTAGATGCCATTTCGCCCATGGCTAATGTCTTGTAGCCCCAGTCGCATAGCACTGGTAACCCAGTAGGTCGTTTTTCCTCTTGTTTGGTCAGATTCCTTGTGCTTCCAGTATTCGTCTTTCAATTTGTTGCTGACATGTTTGCAGACTCTAAAGTGTAAACGTTGCCAGGTCATGACGCTTCTGTAGAGGTCTTGAAGACTCTTGGGATAAAACGTGCCTTGTTTTGTGTCAGGAAAGCAATATGGTTAGGACAGCTTGGAGACGAAGATACAGTCACAGTCATAGTAACGAACTTACACATGGTCGTTCCTGCTCTGTCTTTTCTCGGCAAATGAGCACAAAACACACATCGGAGACCGACACGCCCTGGTTTGTCTTTTTGAGAAGGAAGTGAGAATACCTCCAGCAAATGGGCTCGCACGAAGCAGTGTAGACTGTTTAGTTCATTGGGGTCTTCCGGCATGGCCAATCGATTGGGGCATTCTGGTCCTATTGACGAAGTAGATACTCGTCGCAGAGGTGTTTCTGACGGATTGTCGAGTGGTTTGTCGTCTTGCAGTGCCAAAGAACTGGAAGGAGGGCTTTCTGTTGGCACAGGTGTCTCGTTCACTTCTTGCTTGTTACACGTACTCGTAGGGGCTGCTTTGAGAGTTTCCTTTCTTGGTTTCTTTGCCGACGACAAACGGTTGATTGCTTCTTCCGACACCGAATACCGCATGAGTAAGAGTACGGATGCAGCCGTGCTCACAACTTGGTGGGAGCCTCGAACACTTCCTGCAAGGGCGTCATTGCTTTCATGCTGTTTCTTGATGTTTGACAGGTCCAGTGATTCACAAGAGGGAAAATCTTCTTCGCTCCCTTCACTACTTTGTGATTCTTCCAGCGACACTTTCCGCTGAACAGTGAGTTGAGGCTGTTGTGATTGCCTAGTAGTCATGTTGCTGGTTCTTTCCAAGCTTGAGGAACAGGACTCGTCCTCTGGAGGCGATTTCCAGTCGAGTTGAGCAAGCTTGTTTTCCACCAAACCTACTTCAAACTCCTTATTCACTCTCTTCTTCTCCCTCTTCCTATCATGACAGATGATCAGTCTCGCTGGTGTTTCCTGTTGATGTGAGAAAGCTGTTCTGTCATTGCTCCTTGTGATATCCATGGAGGTATCCGCCAGCATTGGCAGCATTCGACGCCAGAGAAATCGTTTCTTGGGACTACCCCTGTGCATCATGTCTCCTCCCATCCTGTTTCCTGTCTCTTGCTTCGACATGATTACCAGGCTGTACGGTAGCCCCTAAACCCGGCGTCCTCAACGAACTTTCAGAACTTCGTTTGCACGAATTGTGAGCTTTTTTCCATCAATGCAACAAGCGGGGTATCCTTTGGGAACGAGGAATGACCCCAAGGATTTCCTTCTCGGGGCACAACAAAAGATGTGGTCTGGCCTTCGTTGCACTTTCGAACCCTCACCTTACTGTATTTCTCCGAGGCAACCCCTGCCATCCCACCATGGCCCAAATCAACTCTTCACTCTTCACGCTACCGTTGCCTTCCACTCCTCTTCTTCCACGCCCCAGCCTCTCTGATCCCTGCTTCACTCTGTGGTCTAGCTAGGTAGTTGAATCTCTCAGAACCTAACCATGCCCCGAGCACCGCCTTCGCTGTTTCGCAACGTTACTCCTGAATATGTGGCAGTAGTTCTCGCCTCGTCGGCAGGATCACGGCTGTTTCCCATCACGTCCAATGAACTTCCCAAGCACATGATGCCCGTGGGTGGAATTCCAGTTCTCTCTCGGTTACTGACGGCCATTGAAGCCAGTGGATTTCAAGAATGTGTTGTGGTTCTGGCTCGTGATGATCCAGTGACAATGCCTCATTTGAAAGCGGATTTACTCAATAACGAGAATACAAATAGTGGCAGCTGCGCCGATGACACGATGACGGGAAGTTATCGCATTTCTTCCAGCAAGCCCAATGTTGTGGTGATGGAATCAAACAGTCACATGAAAATCACCATTCTGACACTGCAGGAAGAATGTGAAGGATCCATTGATGCCGTACGACAAGTTGAGACCATTGGTGCTGTCCCAAAGGCCAGTAATATGATGGTGCTTCCAGGCGATTTAGTGGTGTTTGATCCATCCGTAATCTCCAACATATGCGATACACATCGGCAAGAAGGCATACCAACTGTCTGCACTGTATTGCTAGCTGATGTCGGAGAGCAAGACGAACATGGAGCCCCTCTGAAGGAGTCCGCCAAGGTAAGCTAGCTTGCGAGACAACAAGCAAAAGATGAACCGTGTACGCCTGGACCATTTCCCCTCTCTCAATTTGCCCCTTTTTCTTCATCTGCACTTCTACTACTAGGCAAAGAAAGGTGGATTGGCCCGAGATGAAGACGACATTGAGTACATTGCATTGTCGTACAGCTCCTCCAATGCGGCTTCGGCCCCACGTTTAGTTTGGAAACAGTTGAAAGCTGACGTCTATGAGAGTCAAGCCATTTCTTCCGAGACGCCCAAATTGAAACTTCCAAAGCCATTGCTCCGAATGGGGGGCATGACACGATTACGAACGGATTGGAATGATGTACATGTCTATGTTTTCTCCCCGTGGGTTCGACGCCTCATTGTTGAAAGAAAGTCGCTCCTGACCATTCAGGGAGATTTGTTGCCACTTTTGATATCTCGACAATTCCAAGGCGTATCCAAAACATTTGGCCGTCAAGTAGAGGAAGAAGTTGTGCGAGACGTTCTACTCACAAGTCCAGACCTAGCAAGCCTTGCTGGAGGTCCCACTGATGACGGAGACGGCGGAGGGAGGCCCTCCGTGAGCCAGTCTGCGGTTGCTAATACCGATTATGACATCCTTGCTCATGTGCAAGATGAAGCTGTTCGAGCGCAGACAATCTCATCGTACTTGCATGCAAGCCGAGAGGTGTTGAATCAGGCATGTGCGACTCCTGAAGAAGGGCCGACATCATCCAAGCCGAATCCATGCTTGCAACTCCCTCCCAACACATTGGTTCGCAGCAAGTTTCATTCCATTCTATTGCCTGGAGCAACGACTGGCGATAAGGTGACCATCAAGTCTACCTCTGTTGGGAGAAACTGCAAACTGGGGGCAAAGTGCAGGTTGAACAATGTGGTGCTCATGGACGATGTTACTATTGGCAACAATGTGACCTTGCAAAACACCATCGTCGGAGCCAAAAGTACCATTGGAGACAACTGCAGCTTTAACGATTGCCAAGTTGCTCCCGGGGTGACCGTACCATCTGGCGAGAAAGCCAAAGGCGAGACATTCTCTGACTAGCAGTTCTAGCTAGAATACGTTATTCAGAACTGTGCTCTGTTTATTAAACCACTAGCTAGATGCAGACGTAACTGCAGTAACCCAGGGATAATCGTCCGGGGGGGGACGCTTGCTCGTCAGAGTCAGCAGTTTTCCTTGCCTTCTCTTTGCAGGCAGTACTGTAGCAACTAAAATACTCTGCGCACAGGATTTTCAATGGCTGCAGAGGGACTCGACTCGACTCTTGCCAATCAAACCAACGAAAACATGAAGCTTCGAACCTCATGGAGACAATGAAACACAAAAATCTTGCGTTAGGCACGCTATAGGAGAGTTCCGCTATCGGGGGGTGTTCCCACACTGCTGGAGATGCCAAAAGCTGAAGGACACGACTCTAGAGGGTGACATCGGATACGAAGGAGCATGATTTCGGACACGAAGGAGCAACAGAATCGAATCCAAACAGGCAGAGCACGGCCGAGGCCTCGATCGCCACGTGCAAGGCACGGGGGCACGCTGTTTTGGAGTTTTTGTTGGACGGCAAGTAGACTAAGTAGTCACAAAATTGATCATTCCTTTCTTATACCAGCGAGTTCAGCACGCGAGTCCATCAGAGTTGTGGATCCATGGATCCAATGCCATGCCAAATAGTTCCAGGCCAAAGGGAATTGTCCAATGCAACATCTACGAGTCGAATAAGCTCCTTCATAACGGGTGGTGTGAATCGCAGGGGATTTGGATTGTTGCCACGATACCAGCCAAGATGAACATGCTCAATTACGTGCAGATATCCAGAAGAAACAGACAGAAAAAGAAGAGTAGCAGGAGGGTTTTATCTTACAATTTGATTACGGATATATTTCAAGATGGAAACGACCCAATGGCATTTTGAGCGCTCTAGAGTTCATTTTGATCTTTTTATGTCCTCATCAAAAAGGCGCTTAGTTCCACCATCCCTTTCCTCCGGTACGGAAGTCATCCTCAGTCCAGGTGGAGAAGATGATCATGCCTGAATCGTCAACATCACAGTGGGCAAGAGCAAGAGGAAGGGGAGCAGGTCCACGAACAACGGCACCGGTGGGTGCGTATTGAGATCCGTGGCATGGGCACTGGAACTTGTTGGCGGCGGCAGACCATGGAACGACACATCCCAAGTGAGTGCACACGGCGTTGAGTCCGTAGCTCTCAAGTGTCTTATCGTCCTTTACAATCAGATAACTACGCATAGAGAAGATAGAGTATTCAAAGAGATATGAATCTGTGAGCATTGATAACTAGCAAAGGAAACAATCAAGATCCAAACTGAACTGAACACTCACGTAGCATCTCCCTTCAATCCCTGAGCAAGAGAGCGATCGCCAGCTGGCTTGGATGCCAGGTATTCCTTGGCCGCGAGATCGTTACCAAGAGCATCCTTGGCGTTAACACCGCCTCCACCACCACCAGCACCTGGGGGGAAGAAGAAAGCGACGTATGGGATTCCGAAAGCGCCAACAGTGACGGCGGTGGATCCAACGACAATCAAGTTCATCAAAAATCGACGTTCGTCATCAATGTATAGCTCTTCAGATGCAGCCATGTTGCTGGTTGTAACGGCGGTGCGTCCCACAGGAGCAGGAGCGAAAGCACTGGCCGAAGCCACAAGAAGAGCGAGGGTAACTGACAGAAGCTTCATGGTGAGTGTGTTTGTATGACGAAATTGTGTGGAGATCCTAGGAAAAGGAAGATGTCGCAAGCAACGCAGCTTTGGTCTTCTCAGCTATTTTTCAAGCTAAGAGAATGCTTTGCTAACACGTACGTCGGCAACTGTGTTGGTTTGGGTTTCCACGTGCGTGGGAAAGCTGTAGATCGAGTTGTTGGGTTGCTGGCGACCATCCCATCTTTCCCTTGGTGCGAAGGGTTGTGACGTAGTTGAAGTAGAATGCAAGATACCGCTGAGGGTTAGAGGTAAAATAAATTCAGGACTGAGACAAAAACGACTGGAATGTGATTGATCAAAGGTGAGTAACTGAAATTAAAGAACGCACATTTGCTGCAAAACTTTTATCACCTTTGCTGACCACTGAAACAGCAAATCTTCACCCGTTGTCTCAAAACGTCCACAAATCCAGAAGGGAAGCGGCTCTTCCCGGAACACCCTGGCTTGATAACTGAGCTGAGGCACACGCTGTGCAGCAAGCCGCTGCCTCCAGACAGCTGCAGGCTGTACGTACATTTTATACTCATACACGTACTCCAGAGTAGTGTGCAAAGAGAAAGGTTGCCGGTATCAGAGAATACCGGCAAAGGCCGTCATTAGAAAAGTGCCAAAGAGGAGGAACATTACTATCCTATTGGCTTTAGCGTCTGTCGCTGCATCGCCTCCTTGAGCTTACCTACTAGCTAGCTAGCTACCATAGCCAGCTCAACATCCAGATACAAGGGTACAGTCGTACTAGCTACTAGCTAGCTGGCCAGCGCTAGCGGGAGAGCCCAGAGCACTTCACTAGGCCACCAGCTTTGAACGAAATGAAGGCGAGCCGAGTTCCAGCAAACAGTGTCAAGCTGATGGGCTGATGTAACCTGCTTTTCTGGACATCATGATCAGCGACTCACTCGCAGCACTGCCACACTGCCACATGGTGGCGAGTGCTGATGAGGCCTTGGCTGCCGTGGCCTCAACACGGTGGGAGCGTGGAAGCTGCATGCATTTATTTTGCAAATAGGCTTCTGCCCCGGCATGCACGTTTCTGCTGCGCCTTGAGTTCCACGCTTTAAATTGCTTCACAGTACTTATCACCAACTGCTCCGGCAACAGAACAGGGCTTTGATCTTACAGGTCCGCGATGCTGTTTATTTTGAAGAGTCTTAAATAGCCACTGACGAAAGCTGTTCCGATGACCAACAGAATTAAATGCCACTGCTACTTCGATTTGGCCAGTTTGTTACTACCAAGTCTACGAAAATTTGCAAAAGAATGGACACTTCACTAGGTGCGAACACGCGCCAAGTAATGATACTATAAGCCTGCAGTAGGCGACGAAACTAAATCCAAAAACTCTCAGATGTCTGAATAGCTTCTGAATGTACTTCGAACCTATAGTCGTATTGTTGACAACGCCAGCAAAATTCTGCTGTCATTCATTCGGGGAAGAACCAGCAATGAATCACACATCAGTTTAACATAGAGAGACAATGTTCTCATAGATACTAGAAATCTAGAAATGAACAAATCTAGTTAGATATCTCACAATGTGCCATGTGACAATAATATCATGAGAGCATGCACACTCATGTCAACCAAAAACCAAGCAAGCAACAAACTTTTTTGATGCAAGTGATGGCAGACTCACCCTGAGCTATGGTACTGGTATGCTTGCTTGCTCAAACTGATTTGTTTTGTCAAGTGCAACATTTCTTATGACAAGAAACTGGAAGCAAATTGCCTTGAGCTCCACCAAACTGAATTCTGTTTTTAAGTTCAAATGAAAGCTAAATCAACCAGTTTGATGCATTTATGTAATGACATCATACATAGGAATTTCCACTGTTATATGTATATCTCACTTTGGATCTACGTGTGTGGCACTTGAAGCATTTCAGTTGGCTTTATTTACACCAGTAGATATGCATGCTTTGAGAGAATTCAATTTGTAGCTAGAGTTATCTGCACTTTAAGACCCACTGCAGATTAAGACCATTGTAATATTGTGGGATTTGTACAGTAATTGCTATAGTAACAGCTACATACGACCTATTCAGCTACTCTGCATGTACCGTAAGGTCGTATCAGCTACATACTAGCTCTACTACTGGCTAGAGGATAGACTCAGTAACAGCTATTCACTATTGACGAGCCACTGCCTGCATTGCTCAAGGTGTGTGTCAAGTCTTGGCTGTGCTGTGGATAGAGGAAGCAGTGTCGATTCGGTACAGGTACTGGTTCCGGTAGAGGAAGCAGTGTCGATAGAGGAAGGAAGGAGTGTCGATAGAGGTAGGCAGAGGTGCTTCGCCGGTAGAGGTGCTTCGAACCACCGCACCGTAAAGGTACTAGTAGGAAGAAGGAGTGTGGATAGAGAGCTTATCATGTGCTTATGCATGTGCTTGGAGAACTCATCAGGGCCTGTAGTTTGCACTCGATAGAACCGGTACCGGTACTGTAGGATCCTACGTAGACTCAGTACCAGAGGCTACGTGTGACGTCATAAGGTCTTAATCTGCAGAGAAAAAGAATTCGTTGTCAGTGAGCTCAAATCTTCAACCGTCCATAACTCCTCTTCTAAGTACACTCTGAGGTTGGGAATTTTGTGGCATACTCAACTACATGTGTTCTCTCGATTCGCCGCTTTTTAAAATAGTACTAATTCGATATACAGCTCTGAAGAGAATATTCCGCGAAATGGTCGGTTTTAATGTGCATATCACTCTATATTATATTTTATTGATAATATTTTGTATCGATACATTTTGAAATTTCTGCCAGTGGGCTTGGGTATTTATAACGAAGTGAGATGGGATCACAGTCAGATCTTTAGAGAACGATCAAACTGATGTGAGTTTTAGCATATTTAGATGTTGTATAGGCATTCACAAAATATCCAGAGATGGATAGTACGGTACCAACAATGCATCAAGCAATAAAGAGTCCTTAAATTTAGTAATTATATTGACAGAATTATTCTTCAATCTTGCATTAATTTCAGAACTATCATGCTTAAACTTTCTTTATTGCTCAGTAATACTCTGCATTGATGATGGCTTGTATTTGCCTTGATGTCCCTGATTAATGATTGGTAATTCAATGAGCCATCATTGATCCATTGATCCAGGGCTCAGGGTATCCAACCCCTTCATTGTTCATTGCCCTTTGTTCAGCTTTTAAAAATCTAGAAGTGAAGTTCTAATTTGCAACAGTCCATGTTGCGTTAAACTTCTGTCAACAGCATGGACTTGTATGTTGAGCTTCTTAAACATTTGACTGCTCCTTTTATGCTGTCTGAGAGAAGCTACTAATTCCGAATGGCCTCGGCGTTATTCACCTTTCGTCAAAAAGTTCAGTACAACAGCTGTACCACGAGCTACCACACAACACAGCCGCTCCACCTCTCAGTTTCTATCCGTCCAATATCGGACGCCTGCGGCATATCATAAGAAGCATGTTGCCACTCCTGTTGAACATCAAAAGAGAGCGATTTTGCAACAAAGTTGGACAATAGCCCAAGCATCTCACTGTTTGCTTGATCGAGCTCTTCCCAATACTAGTAGTTAGCTATCTGTCTCGAATCTCGGATGGTCGTACCAATCCGCTCATCCCACAGTTGCCGAACCTGAAGCTCACAAATTGGTCCCCCAATGCTCTTTGATTGCGAATTTGAAGCTCCTTCACAAATCTTTTGCTCTCGTTGTCAACAGACACACACTCAGGGAGATGAACTTTGGTGGTGATGACAACGGGCCGCAGCGTCCAATTGTTGGCAGCGACTCGCTCGATCAAAAGATTGTATCCGGTCCCAGTGCCCTTGAGAGACGATCAAGTAGAGGTTCTAGCGCTGACGGCGGCGATACCATTGATACCGTCCACGATGCAGATGTGCTGTGTGGGAGAGGGAAATCAAGTTTCAATCATCGTAAGTCAACCATGGCAGGTGCAAGGGAGAAAGAGGTATTCGTTTTGAGTTCCCATCAATTCTTACGTCCCGTAATTTTGCTACCAGCCGGAAACAAAAGGTTCAGAGACCTGATCACCTCTTCGATCCAAGAGTATGATAGGGCGGATTCGAGGTTAGAGAAGTCTCTGGTAGTTCACTCCATCGTAGAGGGTATCCGGAGCGTGGGAGGCAGGTTTTTGAAAACAGACCAGGATACGGGAAAGTGGACAGGTGCGTCTTTGAGCTACGGTAATAGCGTCTTTTGCCGTACATCCTTACATACAGGTACCGTACTAACTTGGCTTTGGCTTCTTGTTTCACGTAGAATTGGATGACCGTGCATGTAGAGAAAAGGTTGGCCATGCAATCAGGGTATGTTGCATGTTTTCCTTTTCAAATCCCCGCTTAATGCATGATTGATTCGAATCAACTCACTCTAACAGTACCACCACTGCACTTCGTACTACCGGTATACCTTGACCTTTGTTTTCAGGATGCTGCTACGATAAGTCAAACGAGACGGCAAAGGAAAAAGCAGATACAGTCGCAAACGTTTGGATCGTCGAGATTCCTACAACCTCGTGGACCTACTGCAAGGTTCACGGAAATGAAAATGGATACCCCCGACCCGGTTTGTTTCCATGATATGGTGTCCTTTTCCAACATGATGAGTGGTCCACGAATGTTTCCACCGCATGGCTCTTCAAGACTTCCTCATGGCCCATTGGTTGGCAGTGCATCAATGGAAGCCACGTTATTCCCGTCAGGACAAGGACAAGTTCAAGGCCCTGTAGTGGGCTCTTATTCAAGGGCGGGAAGTGGGACCTCATCACCGCCTGATGACGCGAGTTTCCTGGCACAAATAGACGAGGTGCTGGGTCCCATGTCTCCCAGCAGCCTGGGTTCAGACCCATTGGCCGACCTTCTGAACTTGTCGACGTCATGACATCTCTGCCATCCAGAGATTTGTTCCGCGTCACGTTGCTAGATCCAACCAAGCCCATTTTTGAACGCTAAAGTTTCCTCGTACTTCCCTTCCTACATACATACCGGTAGCGTGTACCGCTACCTGCACTTCAAACCGAGCATCCAAAGGAAACTAGTCGCGGAGAAGAAGCCACCACAGCGTACATACTGATATGATATTACATACCGGTACATGCACATAGCACTGTTGAGCTTCTTTCCAATAATGTATATTCAGTATAAGTTGACTCGACTAGAATATTTCGATACAGATTTCTTCTTTACTTTTAAGCTTCGACTTTGGCAACCCAGTCAGTCGCTCGGGTTCAAACCACAGCAGGGCAGCCACCGCTTACGTCTGCACCGACTCTCCTTCGGTACGTTGGTTGACATCGCCGATATCCTTGTGGCCTTCGGTCCAAGCAGTATGGTAACGGCCAGGCTTGTCTGTGCGTTCACTATTCACACGAAGGAAAGAGGGTTAGGACATGAATCGAATCCATCGACAGGCTAATTCAGGCACAGGATACTTACTATGTGTGGGCTCCAAAAAAGTCTCGCTGAGCTTGGGTGAGATTCGCGGGAAGTCTCGCACGTCGGTAACTATCAAAGTAAGTCAACGAGGCACAGAGTGCAGGGCAAGCGATTCCATTGGATATGCATGACCCAACCACCCGTCTCCAGGCGGGGACGCGATCGTTCAAAAGACCAGCGAACGTCTTGTCGACCATCAAGTTCACGAGGCTCGAGTCGTCCTTGAATGCCTTCTGAATGGAAGCCAGCAACTGAGCACGAATAATGCATCCACCCGTCCACAAACGGGCACATTCAGCCAAGTCCACATTCCAAGTGTGCTCGTCGGAAGCTGCCTTGATAAGACTCAAGCCTTGCGCGTACGAACAGATCTTGGACGCATACATCGCTGCACGAACGTCGTCAATCAGCGATTGCCGTTCGGGCTTTTCGATTGTTGGGGCGTTCAAGATACTGGAGGCCGCTTCTCGTTCTTCCTTCCTGCCGCTCAACATTCTGGCATCAAGAGCCGCTGCGATTGTGGGGATGGCAACGCCCTGCTCGGCGCCTTCTTGCACGGTCCACTTTCCAGTGCCCTTCATTCCAGTCTTATCCAACACGTAGTCGACGACTTCACCCTCGCCAGTCTCCACATCCTTCTTCCGGAGAATCTTGGAGGTAATTTCAATAAGATAAGACTCGAGTTCGCCCTTGTTCCACCTGCGGTTGAATTGATAAGAAAGATCAGATCAACAGCTACAACAGTAGACAACCAAAAAAATCAACAGCATCTCCCCATGAGCAACTTACTCGTCAAAGAGGTCCGCCATCTCTTGGTTGGTCATACCACCAACATTCTTCAGGATATCATAAACTTCAGCAATGAGCTGCATGTCACCATACTCAATTCCGTTGTGGACCTAGCGAAGCGAGAGTTTGATTGAGGTTAGCCCCGAACAAGGCTCGTATATGGCTGTGATGCTGTCGTACAAAAACGTACCATTTTGACGTAGTTACCCGAGCCAATCGGTCCGAGGTAGCCAGCGCAAGATCCCGATGCTTCCACTTGCGCAGCGCACTTTGTCAGAATCGGTGCTATCATATCATACGCTTCTTTGGGACCACCCGGCATGAGCGAAGGGCCGTTACGGGCCCCTTCTTCTCCGCCACTGATGCCCATGCCAATAAAGTGGATTCCTTTTGGTTCCAAGGATTTTGCGCGCCGAACGGAGTTGGGAAACCATTCGTTTCCACCATCAATGATCACGTCACCGGGCTCCATATGCGTTGCAAGCGTTCCAATGGTGTCGTCCACTGGCTTGCCAGCCTGAACGAGAATGACGACTTTTCGAGGTTTCTTGAGGTGAGCAATAAAGTTCTTTGGATTCATGGACCCCACAAGCGGGAGATCGCCTTCCTTCTGGGCTCTCTCGACTGTGATATCAACCTAAGTCGACAGAAACGACAGAACACAGGAGGGATTAGACTCCAATCACCTTTCAAGGCCCTCGGCAAAAGCAACGAAATTCCTACCTTGGCTGGAGACCTGTTGCCAACACAGACACGGAACCCATGGGAGGCCATGTTAAGGGCAAAGTTTTGCCCCATCACGGCAAGACCATACAGGCCAACGTCACACAGCTGATCTTCTGGCACAGCACCGACTTCCGCTGTTTCTTCGGCCTTCGCGTCTTTGGCGGGAGAAGCTGCTGGCTTGGGAGGGGAAGGCACGGTGGATTTGACCGGCACGTCATTGTCATAGTAGACATAATCCTCCGACCGAATGTAGCCTGCAACTCGATAAATGAAATCATCGGCCTCCTTCGGACCACGGCCACCCTGAGCGTACACAACAGGACGTACATTTTCCTGTTCAATCCTGTGCAAGACAGGAGTAAAGATTTCCCAAGCGCGACGCAACTCATCATCGCGAACGAAGGCGGCCTGTTTCCCCTGCAGAATATCCAAGAGCAGTCGAGTGTAGGCATCCGGATTCACATTCGTCTCGTTATTGCCGAAGAAGCGAGTATTGTAATTCACTTCGAGCTCCGACTGAGTCGGTTTGGCAGAGAACCCTGGACTCTTGACGTTGGTTTTCATGTAGATTGCTTCTTTCGGTTGCATTCTCATGACTGCATTGTTCATCGAATGTTCAGAAGAAGAGAATCCAAAAGTAAAAGTGGTTTCCGTGGTGAGAATTCACCGGAATCAAAAAATCACTCCAGCAAAACAACAATTCACTGGCTAGCAGCCAACTCGAAAACTTACCCAGTTCATTTCGGGGGCACGGCTGCCCATCAAAGAGAAAGTCTCCAGCCGGAGCATCTTTGAATTGAATGCGCATTTCTGCCTTTCTCTCGTTGAGTGCTTTTCCAGCCTTGAGAATCATTGGAACACCATCCCATCTTGGATTATTGATTCTGAGTCGAATGACCGCAAAGGTGGGAGTGTTGGTGTCCTTGTTGTCAATGGTGTCGTCATCCGTGTATCCGTCATATTGTCCGAGGAGGACGTCGTCCAAGTCAATCACCGACATGGCATTCAGCACGGCAACTTTGGCATCGCGAATGGCCTTTCCTGATCCCTTGCCTTCGACAATCACAGGCGTTTCCATGGTCAACAACGTCAATACTTGGAGAAGATGGTTCTATTTTGATTTCGTTGAGATGTCAAAAACAGCCAGCAACGTGAGGGGGCAGCCCAACGAACATGCATGCAACTACATAAATGTACGAGAATGGGATCGTACCTGAAGGATATCACGAATGATACCGTATTTATCAAAGTATCCTCCACGACCTTGGGTTCCAAAGGGCTCCTTGAATGTCAGAATGATACAACTGACGTTGTCCTTGTTGAGGACCTTGTCGAACCAAATATTGGAGAACCTGAGCACGGTCAAGTTTTGAACCATTTCTTTCTGCAATCGACGGATTACATTGCATAAGAAAAAGAAAGAAGACAAGTCAGAATAAATTGCGTTGGTTGGTTCAAATGAAAAAACCAAAGCATGTTACTGTACATGTACTTACTCCCAAGTAGTGATCAATGCGATACAACATTTTTTCATCAAAGACGGACAAGGTTTGGTTGAGTGTTTCAAAGCTCTCCAGATCGCGTCCAAATGGTTTTTCCACCACCAATCGCGTCCATCCCACCTCGTCCTTTTGTATGCACGTGTCCTTGATGGCCAGGGCAGTTTCTCCAAACACATTGGGAGGAATGGCAAAATAGAACAATCGATTCTTCTTGTCATCTTTGGAAAAACCCAGTTCCTTTTCTTCGATTCTAGTTTTCAAAGTCGCAAAGGCGTCCTTGTCGCCGTACGATTTGCCTCCTTGGTATTGACAAATGTTCAAAAAGGCCTCGACGGTGGCTTTGGGATGATCGCTCTTTTCCAAAAAGGGACGAATGCGACTGCGCAGTTCGTCATCAGTCAACTGGGAACGAGCATATCCAAAGATGACAGTGTCTTCGGGGAGCAGCTTGTCTGCGTAGAGGTTGAGCAGCGAGGGAAACGTCTTCTTCTTGGCCAAGTCTCCACTGGCGCCCACCACAACGACCGTCAAACAGCATGTACGGATCCAATCAAACGTCTCGTTCTCCATGGTTGCGTCTCCTTCTGATGCCTTGAAGCCAACGTGGCGATCTGCATTGTGAGCCTTCTGCGACCCGTCCATCAGACAAGATTGCACCATGGTTTTATGAATAAAGCGTGCACAAGCAGAGAGATCTATCGCGGCAAGCTACAGGGCTGTAGTGCTGCCAGTTCGTTCCGCTTCTGGAATACAGTAGTTTCTGGAATAGATTTTTCTGGAATAGTTTCAAGCTTTGCTTCTATCGCGGCTGCGTCAAAAAGCGTCAAAAAGCGGCACAAGCAGTGTTGAGATTATGACCATGGCGTGTTGGTGACAGTTGTCACTGTGGACAGAAGATCCAAACGAGATCTTTCTTACACCGGTTTCAGTCTGGAGTCACTGCTTATCTTGCCGTCGTGGTTCCATCACATGGTTCCGATCCGTGTCCAATCAGCTCTGCTGCATGAGCAAAAGATCCAAAGATACTGTGCTCGTTATTTGGCGCGTGCGCTACTTACCACGATTGGTAGCTTTGGCTTGCCATCACACAAAACTTCTGGAAGTCCAAGCCAAAATCATTTTTTTCCCGAACCCGAAGACACAACACAACAAAATAACATAACAGCAAGCAAGCAACCATGGCCGAAGTGAAGGAAGCGTCCAAGATCCCCAGCTCTTGCAGCCAGACCGAGTCTACCGTGCTCGAGGCCCCATTGTTGAAATCCTGGTCGCTCTTTCGTGGCTTTGCCTTTGAAAAGATTGCTCCTGGCCAAGTCACCGCCACAGAGTACGAATCGGGAGCCGAAGGCGCCGTGGGCAGTGTCATCAAGATGACCTACAAAGATGGGTCAATCTGGAAGATTCGTGTCACGGAATTCAGCGAGCGCAATCACACTTTGGCGTACGAATTGTTGACGGCCGAACCGGCACATGCATCTACCTCTGTCCAAGGAGAAATCAAGTTGTTGGCCGTCACCACCGATGACCACACATTTGTCAGTTGGACCACAGAGTTCTCCAATGACGCCGATCTTACTGTCATTTCCGATCAAAAGTACAAGAAGCAAGAATTTTTCAAGGTATGACAATGACAATAACACAAAGTATCATTTGGTCTTGTAGCATTCGAGGTCGCCGTGAAACAACTTTGTCTGATTTAATTTTTCTCCCTTTTCCTCTTGCCGACACACAGGATGTCAAGTCCAATCTCTAAAAAATATGAGAGGAACACAAAATAGACGAGAAAAAATGGTATGAAATAAATGGGCAAAAAGGAAAAGCGCTGAAGCGATTGAATGACGAGGTTCTCCTTCGGCGTGGCTCGTTTGTTTTTACCAATCAGCTATCATCTCCTTTTAGAAAATGCTGCAGAAGAAAAACAATTTACTTTTTGATCACTACCAGTGGTAGAGTGGTAGACATAAGGTTTAGATGTGCTTGAACAAAAGTTTTTCGTTTACAAGGACAACGGTTGGTTTTACAGAAATGGGATTGGTAGGCTGGATGGCAGTTGGTCCTTTGTACATTTAGGTTCTCCCCTTTCTTTGACTGACCATCTGAAACAAGGAACGCAGCCGCAAAAACATGGGCCACATGGGTTGGGGCTCTCACCCAAAGGACTAATGTGGGCTGGTTTTCCGCTTTTTCCTTTCAATCGCACGGTTATGCCTTAGCTACCGGTAGCTACAGGATCCCTCGCCATCAACATAAGGTTTAGATTTGCTTGAACAAAAGCTTTCCATTTTGCTTCTCCAGATGCTAAGCAAGGACAACGGTTCGTATTACAGAAATGCGATCGGTAGGCTGGATGGTACGATTATGCCTTTTAGCTAGCTACAGTATCCATCCCCATCAATAGACCGATAGGGCACTCGTACACTACCATGCATACAAGAGCTATTACAGCTGTTGGCTTCCAATATCGTCTGACATGTACGCTATGCATGAAATCTCTTGCCACGTTTCTTGGATGACGTTTGCTTTTGCCTCTTTCGACTTTGTTGACCCTTTGCTTGTTGCATGGATGTGTGTTTGCGTTTGGTATAGTCGGCCGTGGCGTGATCCGCCATAAGCTCTTCCGTCAGATTGGCCCGTCGTTCCTTCTTGGTCAACCGCGACGAGTAGAATTCCGCAGTCCCTTCCACGACAGTTCCCACTTGGACAAACTTGCTGGTGGTATCGGCCGATTTATAGAATCGTTTGGGATCCAAATAGTTACGATAGCGGATCACCTTGAGATCGCGTTTGACATCTTCTGTCATGGGTGTCGGGACCATGCCAAACCATTGATCTCCGGCATGATTGGGAGCGTCCCGTTTGGTTCCCAGTTTGAAGGATGACTTGACCACTTTGCCATCTTTCGTGGAGGACCATGTCATTGTTGTCTTGTGTTGCTGTGTTGCCACGACCGCTTCGGTGCGCTTTTGGTTGGCCAATGTTCCCTTGACAAATCCTGCGGTTGTCTTGTCGGTAACCAACGCACGCTTGCGCAAGGCATCCAAGCCGGGTCGTTGACTGTCAAGAGACGAAGAGTCCAGTTGGAGTTTGGCCGTATAGCCGGGAATGAAGCTCGTCAGTTCGTTGCGAGGGGCTTTCTTCTTTTTTCGTTTGGTGGTGGTTGTTTTCCCAACTAATGTCGTGATTTTGGGCAAACGTTGGAGCGGCTTTGTTGACTTTTCAACAAAAGCTGCCTCGTCTTCTTGTGCTGACGACGCCCCTGGGGTCTCCTCTTGCTTTTGTGGTGTTTTGGACTTGCCTAACTTGCCATCTGTTTTTTTATCAGTGTCTTTGTCTGCCTCGTGCTCTTCCTCCATGGGAACATCATCTTTGCATTCAGTTGTTTCAGACACTGTACCTGATGGCTTGTTTGGTGAAGGGGAGCCGCTGGTTTTGGTGCTGCCATTCTTTTTGTTGTTGTTTTTCCTTTTGGATTTGCGCGAATTGGGGGTTTCCTTTTCTTCTTGCTGCTCTTTCTTGTATTCTGCAATCTTCAAAAAGGGCTTGATTGGGGAAGGAGATCCACCTGATTTTATGCTATTGTCACCACCCTTTTCTTCTTCCATGGGTACCTCTTTGCTCTCCACTGGCGTTTTGGATGATGCCTTACTACGTCCTGGAGAACTTTTCTTTGGGGAAGGAGATTGATTCTTTTCAGCTTTTGCTGCTTCAGTGTCTCTTTCATCAGGTTTGCTCTCTTGGATCACTGGCAAATCGGAGACTGTGGATTGCTGCTCGATTTCTTTTACCTCGCTTGCATTGACTGGTTCCTTTGCAGTTTCCATGGAATCTTTGGTTTTCTTTGCAGCAGGGCTTTTGTCAGGGGACTGTTTTGGTGGACTCTTGGATCTGGATTGTCTGGTGGGACTTTTGGATCTCTCCCTCTTTGGTGTAGGACTCTTGGATCTGGATTGTCTTGTTGGACTCCTCGATCGTTTTGGCGTTGTCATTTCCTTCTCGATTTTTCTGGGTGTCCCCTTGAATGAAGGACCCCCCCTTTGCGGCGTTGTTGTTTCTTTGTCTTGACCATTCGGGGTTGCTTCCGGAGACTCGGGCGTTTCTGCGGCAAGTCTTCTTCTACGTGTGCTCACCATGGTCCCAACGTGCTTGCTCTCTCTCGTTCAAAGGACCGAAACTAAACTCTGGCGTCTTTCTTCGAGGTTTCCCTTTCAATTTTCCAAGAAGTTTCGTCTTTGATTTTGCTTGGTCCTCCTTGAGTCACGGTTGAAGCTCTTGGCTCGGGATTGATGTCACGGTAGGGTGAAGGCTAAATCTGAGAAGCCGCATCCAAAACCGACCGTCACTGAACGAGGTGTCAATCGGCCATGACAAGGATCCCTTTTCTACGATTCCTCGACATCGCGACAAGACGCAAAAGCCCTTGAGAAGGAAGGATCCTTGGCCACTGCTTGGTTGGTTGCAATTTCTCACTACATTTTCGTCTAATCATAGTTGCGTTGCCATTCTCATTTTCAGTTCCTCTGGCAAAAGAAAAAAACAGGACACAGTTTTTTCATTCTCCTTGAATTGTTTTTTATTCTCTGAAGCAACACCATGATGTCTTCCTTTCGTCTTGCCGCCTCTCGAGGCAGAACATCGCTCCTGACCAAGGCTGCTTATTCCACTACATCCGTTGCAGCCTCCAAGAATGTGGTGATTGTGGCAGGAACCCGACTTCCTTTTGCCACAACGACCACCACGTACTTTGACGAATTGGCCGTGGATCTTCAACGCTTGGCCATTTCGGGTCTCTTGACCCAAACGGCGCTGCCCAAAGAAGCCGTCGACTATGTCATTTGCGGCAATGTCATTCAAGAAGTGCGAACATCCAATATTGCACGAGAAGCTGCCATCAATGCTGGCTTGCCCGTCACCACGGGAGCTCACACGATTGCTCAGGCGTGTATTTCTGCCAATGCCGCTATTTGTGCCGGAGCCGAAAAAATCATGACGGGACATGCCGATGTGGTCATTGCCGGAGGATGCGAAACATTTAGTGATGTCCCCATTCGATTGAGTCGCGTACTGCGCCAAAAAGCACTTACCGCACAAAAAGCCATGAAAAAGGGAGGCACATTGGGAGCCATTCAGCACGTCCTGAAAGGACTCAAAATGAAAGACATCTCTCTGGAAACACCCGCCATTGCCAATTACACTACCGGTGAAGTCATGGGAGTCAGTTCCGACCGATTGAGTGCCAAATTTGGAGTCTCACGGGAAGAACAAGACGAATTCACCGTGCGATCCCACACGCTCGCTGGAAAAGCTCATGCTTCTGGATGGTACAACGATGAAATTACGGCCTACAAGGGATCCACCGAAGAAAATGGAATCAAGGCAGATTCTACTGTGGAAAAGGTTTCCAAGCTAAAGCCTGCATTTGTCAAGCCTCATGGAACTCACACGGCTGCCAATTCCAGTTTCTTGACAGATGGTGCAGCAGCCAGTCTATTGATGAGTGAAGAAAAGGCGCTGGAAATGGGATTCAAACCATTGGCCTATTTGAGAGATTGGTCCTTCAAGGCGTGTGATCCCTTTGAAGAACTTCTCTTGGGACCTACGTATTGTTCACAAGAAGTACTCTCCCGCATGGGACTCAACATGGAAGCAGACATTGGTGTCTTTGAGATCCATGAAGCCTTTGCCGGACAGATTCTATCCAACTTGACTGCCATGGACAGTCAAAAATTTGCCGATGACAAGTTTGGTGGAAAAAAGGTTGGAAAGGTCGATTTCGACAAGATGAACACCAAAGGAGGATCGCTCTCCATTGGGCATCCCTTTGGGGCCACTGGATCGAGGCTCGTTACCACGGCATCGCGTCGGCTCCAAGAAGAAAACCAACGCTTTGCATTGGTGGCGGCTTGTGCAGATGGTGGAATGGGGCATGCCTGCGTACTAGAGCGTTATGATAACTAGATTTTAAATGATAATAAAGTAATAAGTAATCCATGAGGTTCTGCAAGTGTACGGCATGTTGTAGCATTTCGCAACCCCATCAGCACTGTCAAGACCTTCGGGACACGACACTGCAGCCTATGCAACAGGGAGCGACTGGAGATACTGAAACGATCCAGAGAATCGCCAGAAAGCTGATCAACTCCTGCAACGAAATATACTGAGCATGCCGACATAAACCTCGATTTCATAAGTACCACAATAGCCCAAGCACTGATGATTCCCAACGGGGATGAAAAAGTCAAACAACCGAAAAGTTACCACAGAGTAAAGCCTGTGTTTTAGCGATTCGGCAGTTTGTGAGTAAACTTACTTAGTTCAGTCACTTTTTGCTAAAATCGTATGATTTCGTTTATTTCAGGTAGTTCAAGACAACAAGAATACCAGCAGCAGGTGAACCTTCCCAGCTTTCTTGTGGGCTACTAGCTAGAACCAAGTGTTGGAGCCAATAATACACTTGGAACAAATGATTGAACCCAGTCAAAGAGGCCATCCACAGTCTCTCCATCAACCTTTGTTTGGGCTATATCAAAACTTTCTTGCCGCTGAGGGCTCGCTGTACTGTACTCCCGGTCCCTTCCATTTGCGAAGGTGTGCGTCTTAAGAACGACCGGATGTCCAGTCTATGACTGAAGCAATCTGGAAAGATAGGTATCTGATGTCCATATTTCAATGGTTCGAGGAATCAATATTACCCCATCTTCCTGATGGTCAAGCAATATCTTATCTTTTGGAACCGTTGAGGAGCTTGTCGTCGTTGTTGCTCAGCTGCTCATCGTCGACCTCCCGCCGACAAAGCAGCCTTGAAGAAGTACAACAAGTCGTCCTTTAGTCTCTGCAGACAGCGGTATCATCCTCAGATCCGACCGACAGGAGATTGCTGCTACTTCTTAATATCCGAGATCACTTCACTGCTTAGACGCTACATAACTGTTTGATTTGATTTGATTTGATTTGATTGATATACTACTATAGATAGAGTCCAGGGTATGCCGCAATGAGGTCCTGGAAAATCTTTGGGAACAAAGGCTCATCCCAGGATGAAGACGGAGATTCCAACAACGCCGCTAGGTCCGGGCAAGGGTGAGTTGCGTCTATCCGTTATCTGCGGCTCAGTCTGCAGAGAAGGGACCTATTGGTGATCTTGGCCGAGTTGGATCCATATACCCCAGATACCCTTAACGGGTCATTGTGAGGGGTCCTTCTCCCTTCTTCATCTCAATTGTTGGATCCATGCTGTATCTTATCCTCTCTTTTTGATGCTCTGATTCAACAGGTCCCAAGGAGGTCGAGGTGGAGAATCCGCCGGCTTTATGGGATTCATGGCAGGTCGATATGACTCGAGAATGGAACGGAATGTTAGTATGGCAGCGAGAAACTTGGGTGATGGCGTCCAAAAGATCGTCATGGCTGCGAAAGGAAAGCAGGGCACCAGCGGAGAATGGAAGGCAGAATTGCTCAAACTCTTGGGAGCTGACAATGACAAATCAGAAATTGACGTCTTATTGGAAAACTCAGCCTGTGAAAAGTTTGTCTTGCGCTGCATTGAAAATGAGCTACCTCCCAACCTGATCCACTGCCTCCGTCTCTTGCGGGTGATGGAGTTGCAGCATGCCAATGAGGCACACGAACGGGGCGAGAGCAACCCAAATCCTATTGGTGAGAGCGCCACAATCAAAGTGTCCAAGTTGCTCTGCAAATTGTGCAAAGATCCAAGCGTTGGAGAGCAATTACGACCCCATCTGTTTGGCCTCCTCGCATTGAGTGGAGCATCCTATCCTCAGTCGGGAATTCATGTGGCAAAGGCGTCATCCGAGGTCATCATTGCCTTTTCGGAGTTCTGCTTGTCCAAGTCTTTGGTTCAGTTCCTGCACGAACGGAACATGATCATGCACATGACAGACGACATCAAAGAGCTTACCGGGATGACCAACTCCAACGGACAACAAGCGCCACTGTCGCTCTACGGAAAGGAAGCAGAAGAAGCAGGGTTGTGGGCCATCTCGCTCAAAACTGTGGTCCATATGGTAGTTAATTCATGCAACCATGAGTGTCTCGATATGCTGCAAGACTTCAAGAGCGCAGGAGGATACGACGTTATGCGCTATGCCGTGTTGAATGGCACATCCAAACACGGTAAAGAATTGATTGCCTTAATTCCGCTCTTGACTTGCTGCTCGACGGACCTTCAGGATGAAACCACTGGCAGTGGGTCTAAACTTGCCACAAATCAACAAGCGTTCGAGGTTGTCGAAGACCTCATGCTCAAGTACAATCCGTTGGTCAGAGCCTACAAAGACGAACACAATGGTCAGAAACCAGATTTTTCCAGAGAAGGCGCCATGCAATATCTGGTAAACTTCTCACTAAAGACAGCTGCAAAAGTTCGTTTCACGAATGGATCGACATCAGAAGAGTCAAGAGCACAGTACGACATTGAATCCGAGTTGCTCGATTGCACGCTCCAGTTGTACTCTAGTCACCCCAACAACTACGACATTCTCGAGAGGAAATACAACGTGCTCTCTCTCTTTTTGATCGCGTATCCAACATTCGATGACGAGGGATTCAAAGTGTTCGTTTTGAAGACCTTGGAGTTTGTGCTCACGGGCGTGGCCAACACGGATGCTGTAAGACCGCTCCATGCAACGGTGGAGGTATTCTTCTCACTCTGCAAAGCACTAATGACAAGTGGGGAGGGCATCAACGGAGAGGGAGGACTCGATAAGAAGCAGCTCGATGCCTTCTTCGAGGACGCGGAAATGGTGGGCGGAACAATGGAGAAGCTTTTGCAGTTCGATCACAGGGTGGCACCAATGTTTGTCGAACTCGGAATCCATACTACCAACGTTGACGAGATTCTCGACTTGATTATTGACACTAGTAAGAAAAGCGACTTTGGAACTACGTTTGAACGGGATGGAGTCGATTTCCAAGTCCCACCCACTTCGACACCCATCGACCGCACTGTTTCCGCTGTTTGCCGCATATTGAAATTGCTCATCTCACAGCTGCCAGTGAGGTTCGGAGATCCCGACGACGACGGCAGAGAAAAAAACGAAACCACAAAGCTTCACTCGCTTATGCGCCGAGTCATTCTGTCTCTCGGGGAGGAATCGGCAAAGGCAGCGGCAGGAGTATTTGAGGCGCACCTTTCGCAATTCTCGGACCCACAGGTGCTGGAGAATGACATGGATTTTGTTCTTGATATCCTTGACTACTTCTCCAAACTTACCGGATCCTGCGCCATTGAGGGGCTCGAGCTGGCGACCGATCCTACCCCAGCTGACCTTTCGATCACCATCTACCGGGAGTGCGTCGTGTTGTCTATGCTTCGATCGGTGCTGGATTCTAGAAGCTGGGCACGCGACACATTCCGCGACTGCGGAGGCTTCACAAGCTTGACAAGGATTGTGCTAAGCCTCAAGGGTGTGGCAAACAGTAGCGATGGTGGTTCAGAAGAAGGTTTTGCTTCGTTGGTAAAGCTACTTCAACATATCCTTGGTGTTGTGGATGCGGCCAATGGAAGCAAGGCTCGCACGACTCGCTCCTCGGATGTAACAGCCATACTTGTTGACCCAGTGTCATCCCAGCGAGCACTGGCTACACCTGCAGCAGCAAATCGGTTTTATCTGAGACGGCGAGGTTTCTACCTTGACCTGGCAGCCTCTCTTGTTGTTACGGGGGCACTTGACACCGAAGAGAAGGCAGAGAGTCTCTTTGATGTGGCAATGGGACATATGGATCCCCAGATGAAATTCTCGGACGCCGCCTTCCTGCGACTCTCCGACTGTACTTTATGAGTAACAGTGCTTGAGCGATAACCAAACACAATGCATTCCGGTGGCAACGTGCAAAGGAGACCCAAAGAGGCAAGTGAGTCTCTGTCTTCGACTCTTTGAGCGTCAACTCCCTTTCTGGCGATCAGGCCAGCCACCTCCAATCTGGACAAGTCTCGGCGTCGCAAAGCACTCGCAACACTTCCTCTTTCACCGTTCTCGGCAAGCATGGAGAAAGTTGTAGTTCCCGTTGCAGCTAGAGACAGCCTCTGCGGTCGATCGCCCCAGAAGAGACCGGGAAAGTCTGGGCCGAACGTGAAGATTGCCGTTGCGTCCAAATCCAGCAAGATGGTTGAGAGCATCAACACAGATCCAACTTCCCAGTGAGGCATGGACCCTCTGATAATGCCGCTGGTTGCCAAAGTTGGATTTGGGGCACCGATGATGACCTTAGAGTTTGGGGGCAGATTGACACTCTCCACCTTCACATCAGCCTCCAGTGGACGTCCATCAACAAATAGATTCAACATGGCCTTCCTCGACATCATTCCTTGCCTCTTTGGCGGAGTGAATGTCAATAAGATATGGTGCCAGACATCTGGGGTTAACGGCGATACTGGAAAGCTGATGGGATCACTCTTGTTTGAAGCTGAAGTAACGACGTTGAAGGTCATGTTTTGAACGTCGTACCAAACCGAAAGGAACACAGAGCTCTGTCCGTCGGTTTGCGCTGAAGCAGGACTCGAGATATCCAGCACGTACAAATTTCCAAGAGTCTTATCTTTGCCCATCGCACTGTGTCGTAGCCACATCGAGTACGAGAATCCTGAGTTAGCCAGCGGCGTCCAAACTCTTTCACTACCCTGGCCGGAAACTGGTGCGACTGTGCCTGCGGAAGCCAATCCTTCGGAGGTAAGGGCGGAGCCATCAATGCTCTCAATCTCCATGAATTTGAGGCGCCCCTCATGAGCACAAGCATACAGTCTTTCCTCGAGCTTTGTTTGGTGCAGTAGCACGGCGATGGTGTTAATTGTGTCACCACCCACTCGACACAAAGGAGCCCGGTCGCCCTTTTCTGCAATCACACAGAGCGACTTCAGGCGTTTGCAAAAGTCATCGTCCTTTTCTTTGAATGCTTCTGATGATGTGCTTAAAAGCGCAGGCTGAGGTGCGGAACGAGCGACGGACGAACTGATCACAGGGAGCCTGATACGACCCACGCTCTCGTCCTTGAGAATAGGACCTGCCACAGATCGCAGCAGCGACACAAAATCCGAGTGCGACATGCTGAAGGCAGCTATCTTTCTCAGCAGGGTCACAAACTTCGTGTGAAGGTGGTGTGTCGCGTCGTCAAAGAGCGGAGCAAATTCCATTGGATTGGTCAATGACCAGCACATTCCAGTGGTTGCAAATTGTGTTAGTGTCGAACCCGTGTGCTCGTCGGTGCACAGTTCGAGCATCTGGTCCAAGACTTTCTTTGACATTTCCTTCCCGTGAGCAGCACTACTGGGCGTGAGCATTGCAAGCGCAAGGACGAGGCGAATTGCGTCTGGATTTCGAAGCATCCAAATATCCGGTTTTGCGCCTTTGTCGCCACCGTT